TATGATTGCTGCTAAAGAATCACCTGTCGAGTAGCTGAGTCGGCGTGATTCGGATAGGCATTGAAAGGCACTTGAGACGATTTTTTTCTCTTCTACGTCCATTCAAATTTTCAGTGGTAATTTCCGCATCATATTTCTTTGTTGCTACCGAATCATAAAAAACAGATGTATGAGCTGCAGCAGGGTTAGCATGTGGAATTTAAGGTATTGGCTGTGTAGATATTTTTGGACTCAATTTTCCAACTGTATAAGGGGCCGTGGAAAAGACCCACGAAAAACATATCGACACATTCCACCTATTTGTCGACTATAATCCCACATTATAGGACTTATTGGAGCCCTTTAATACCGAATGAGGATTCAGACAAGGTGACAGTTTTTCGTGTGACCTGTTTAACATCCGGCTGGAAAAGGTCATACGAGATGCAAATGTGAACAGAAATGACACTCTGTACCCCAAATAGCATGTGTTACTCGCCTGCGCCGATGACATCGAACATTGCGAGCGGTAACAGCCACATTTGATGAACAAATTGAGAAGGAGTCTGCCAAAATGGGTCTGCGCAAAACGCCCATGTGGGGAAAGCCTCGAAATAAATTAAAATATCAAGTGGAAGAGAACATTTCGGAACATGATCTTTCAAGTTAGAAGCAAGACCTACGCGCCTGGACATTTTTGTTAAGCTCGTTTTATGGATTTTCTTTTGTTGGGATTAGAACTTTGGTTGTAGTTAGAACCTGAATCGGATTTCGTTTGTGGAAATTTTACCGATCTGAATTTTATTAATAGTAAACGTAGTTTCTTTCAAACTTCTTTACAATCCTACAGGGTTTTTCTTGATCACAATTTTGTTTTGTCAATATTCCCCCCATTAAAAAAAATTAAAATATTCCGATTATGATTTCTCAAAACCCTTGCATTTTAGGCATATAATGTCTTTGGCAATATTACTGATCTACACGTGAGCAATATGTTAACATGCAATCGGTTCGCTGAAGGTGTCTTTTCGGTACTTTCTCCACAAATGATTGAAAATTCAATTAAAACGGGGTTTTAGAAATTCAGAATATCATCCCAATAAATGACCAAAAATTTTCAAAAATCTTAAAAATATGAAAGTTCTGTTTATGGTTAAAAACGATCATCTATTCCGAGTTTTTACCAATATTTCCACTATACCTAATAATATGCAGCAAATCCCCTACCTTGTTGAAATTTCCCACTTTTCTCAAAGAAATTAGAAACTGATATTGTCAATGAATTAATTGAAATCAATGTAAAATGTACCCAATGAAAACCCCTAAACAAAACTTAAATATAAATTTCAGTAAGGGTATTCACCATCTGGTCTATATGTTTAAGGAATTTGGTATAAATAAAATGCAATTAAACGGAACTCGAGTGGCCATAATTTGTCAATTAGATAAATTTCAGTTTTCAGCCATGATTGTTTTCCATTGAAATATATAACCCCAATCGAATTAAAAACAAAACAAATGTTCCGGTAAAACCAGTGATGGATGGTTGAAAGATTGGTTGAGGAAAGAAAATCTAATTTAGAAAAAAAGGTCTGCCGACCATACCCAGCTATCAGTCACTGAACCATAGAACAAAACAAATAATCAATGGAAACGGAATAGAAATATTTGAATATTGAGGAAAAATTCCAATAGTGGGTTTGATTGAGATTTTCTTTATTTGTGTTTCAAATTCCCATATACCATGTGTGTGTGCGGTGTCACTGGGAATGGGTCATTAATTTTTTATTTGTTCGAGTAACATTTTTTTTTGTTGCTGTTCTTCAAATGAAATTTGTTGAATAAATGTTTTGGGGCGAGTGGGTGTGTAACACGCACTTCCATTTTATTTTAATGTCATCATGCGTTTTATGTCCAAAATTTCAAACTTTCCAAGTAGTCAAAAAAAATATTTTGAAAACTCGTAACGTTGCGCAGGCGTTTTCTTGGTGATCATCATCAACCAACAACTTCCCCCACACGAACACAACACACACACTCGTTGTTGTTCGTTGGTTTTTGAATTTATGACTTTGAATTACGTTTTGGATTCTTTCAATTTCAATTCAAACAACAACAACAGCAACAAATTTTTATATTGCTTTTCAAATTCGATTTGCAATCAAGCATTGAATCGAATCCACTCCCTTATCTCCGGTCTGACTGCTACTCGCCAAGCATATCTGACTTTATATGGTCACCTTATGAGCAGACATTTGAAAATGTGTAGCTGTTGTTGTTGTTGGTGTCTGTGTGTGTGTTGGAGTGGTGGGTGATCAAGTCTTTGGCAGGCTGGTGGTTCATTGATTGGTGACATCCAACGGATGTCACACGACTGTTTCATACGCCTGGGCATGACCATTTAAGGTTCGTCTTCGAAAATTGATGACATTTAATTGAGAACACCGAACGACCACCAATTTAGGTGCTGTTGTTGTTGTTTTGACCGAAATGAAATTTCAAGATTTGTTTCAGCCAGACAGACAGCCAAGTATAGAGATGAGTAATGCAATTCAGATGACCGACTAAGATATCAAATTATTTTTGTGGGCTTAAATTGGAGTATTTATTTTATTAAACATACGCCCCCATCATTGGAATTTGATGGCAAGGTCTATATGGGTCATTCCATATTATAATCAACATGGAATTTATTTGGATTAAAGAAGATGTTTTCAAGTGCTTGGTTTGGACTAAAGAATATTTTTTCAAGGCCTTAGCAAGGCGTGGTTTGGACTAAAAAATATTTTTCCAGTGGATTTTTTCAAGGTCCATCCAACAAGGCGTGGATTTTTTAAAGAATATTTTTTCAAGGTCCATCCAACAAGGCGTGGATTTTTTAAAGAATATTTTTTCAAGGTCCATCCAACAAGGCGTGGATTTTTTAAAGAATATTTTTTCAAGGTCCATCCAACAAGGCGTGGATTTTTTAAAGAATATTTTTTCAAGGTCCATCCAACAAGGCGTGGATTTTTTAAAGAATATTTTTTCAAGGTCCATCCAACAAGGCGTGGATTTTTTAAAGAATATTTTTTCAAGGTCCATCCAACAAGGCGTGGATTTTTTAAAGAATATTTTTTCAAGGTCCATCCAACAAGGCGTGGATTTTTTAAAGAATATTTTTTCAAGGTTAAAGAATATTTTTTCAAGGTCCATCCAACAAGGCGTGGATTTTTTAAAGAATATTTTTTCAAGGTCCATCCAACAAGGCGTGGATTTTTTAAAGAATATTTTTTCAAGGTCCATCCAACAAGGCGTGGATTTTTTAAAGAATATTTTTTCAAGGTCCATTTTTTTTTTAAAGAATATTTTTTCAAGGTCCATCCAACAAGGCGTGGATTTATAAAGAATATTTTTTCAAGGTCCATCCAACAAGGCGTGGATTTATTAAAGAATATTTTTTCAAGGACCTACACAAGGCGTGGATTTATAAAGAATATTTTTTCAAGGTCCATCCAACAAGGCGTGGATTTATTAAAGAATATTTTTTCAAGGTCCATCCAACAAGGCGTGGATTTTTTAAAGAATATTTTTTCAAGGTCCATCCAACAAGGCGTGGATTTTTTAAAGAATATTTTTTCAAGGTCCATCCAACAAGGCGTGGATTTTTTAAAGAATATTTTTTCAAGGTCCATCCAACAAGGCGTGGATTTTTTAAAGAATATTTTTTCAAGGTCCATGGATTTTTTAAAGAATATTTTTTCAAGGTCCAGGCCATACAAGGCGTGGAATTTTAAAAGAATATTTTTTCAAAGTCCATCCAACAAGGCGTGGATTTTTTAAGAATATTTTTTCAAGGAACATCCATCAAGGCTTAAACAAGGCGTGGATTTTTTAAGAATATTTTTTCAAGGAACATCCATCAAGGCTTAAACAAGGCGTGGATTTTTTAAGAATATTTTTTCAAGGACCAACAAGGCGTGGATTTTTTAAGAATATTTTTTCAAGGTCTTGGATTTTTTAAAGAATATTTTTTCAAATCAAGGCGTGGATTTTTTAAAGAATATTTTTTCAAGGTCCATCCAACAAGGCGTGGATTTTTTAAAGAATATTTTTTCAAGGTCCATCCAACAAGGCGTGGATTTTTTAAAGAATATTTTTTGAAGGCTTAAACAAGGCGTGGATTTTTTAAAGAATATTTTTTCAAGGCTTAAACAAGGCGTGGATTTTTTAAAGAAAGGCGTATTTTTTTTTCAAGGAACAAGGCGTGGATTTTTTAAAGAATATTTTTTCATTAAACAAGGCTTTTTTTAAACAATATTTTTTCAAGGACCATCCATCAAGGCTTAAACAAGGCGTGGATTTTTTAAGAATATTTTTTCAAGGACATCCATCAAGGCTTAAACAAGGCGTGGATTTTTTAAGAATATTTTTTCAAGGACCATCCATCAAGGCTTAAACAAGGCGTGGATTTTTTAAGAATATTTTTTCAAGGACCATCCATCAAGGCTTAAACAAGGCGTGGATTTTTTAAGAATATTTTTTCAAGGACCATCCATCAAGGCTTAAACAAGGCGTTGATTTTTTAAGAATATTTATTCAAGGACCATCCATCAAGGCTTAAACAAAGCGTGGATTTTTTAAGAATATTTTTTCAAGGACCATCCATCAAGGCTTAAACAAGGCGTGGATTTTTTAAGAATATTTTTTCAAGGACCATCCATCAAGGCTTAAACAAGTCGTGGATTTAAGAATATTTTTTCAATGCCTACTTTTTCAAAGGCGTCACTTAATAACAACTCATTGTTTTCTATTTGTTTGTACAATAATATAAAATCTTTATTAGAGTTTCTCTCAATTTTTGTTTTTTTCATATTTCACTAATAAAACTTTACAAAGAAATTAAGAATAGGACAATGGACAAACAGACATGCCGCTGCCGCCACATAACTACACAAGTCAACGTGTGTATAATTGCAGCGAGCGGGATGTTTTTATTTTTTTCTTCCTTTTTTTATTTAATATAAAACTATAACATCTTAAATTATTACCGCATAAAGTTTTTACCCTTCTTTTGTAATTGATCACGACTAATTTGTTTAAAGACACGTTGTTTCTTTTCGTCGTTGTTTAGGTTTTTATAATAACCAAAACCACCACCGCCAACACGTTTTTCGGGCCGGACACGTTTTGCCGCGCCCACTTTTAGATCCACAACTGGCGGTACGAGGAAACCGAAACTTTTCGCAACCGCTTGTAAATCCAAAGTATTGACATCGAATATCGTTTTCAATTGATGTGAATCATAGGCACGAACATATGATTTGAATGCCTCCTTGGCCGATTGATTGAGGAAGTAATTTTTGGAGATGAGTTTTTCGAGCTGAAAAGGGAGATGAGAGAAATTATTAATAAAAAGGAAAGAAAATAATTAAAATAAGTATTATTTAAAAAATCGTGTGTGCGAGCTATACGAATACGTGTAGGCAAGGGTAAAATCGAAGATGGCAACCATTTGTACAGTACACCTTACATTAATGTACTGTACAAATTTGACTATTATATTTTATGCAAATAAATTAGGCTGGGAAAATCCATTTTATTTTTTTGTAAATGGTTTAAAACAGTTATGGCGAATTTTTAGCTCCTGGGCGGTGTTACGACTGCTAACACCCGGTCAACTTCGATCATTTCTCAGATTTCATTGACATTTTCGACGACCGGCATACCTGTGCGAGGAGCATCTTTAACATAAACAATCCTGAATGGAATCTACGAAACCAAAATTTCACATAATTGGCTGTTACAGTTTCGGAATCATAAACACCATTCACAATTTTAGTCGCTTTTGGCTAAAATTTTCGCCTTTGTCAAAGTACCTGTAAAATGTACGAATTTTATATTCGTTAACTTCCATTTTTAACACCCTGTAACTCACAACTGAATGCTCCAAAATATTTTTTTACTGCGAAATTTCACCCTTCCAACGAGCATAAATCTGAAATACTTTACGAGAAATCTATCAGTAGATCCATTTACAGAAAAAATAGATTTCTTTTTCCCCAACCTAATATTTTGTACTACTCTAACAATGGATGTGATATAATAAATATCAATATTAATCGATATTTCCTCCCATACTGCAAAAATAGTCCATCCTTCTTCTATAAAGACTTTCCAAATCGAATAGTTTGTGTATAAGTCAGCCTCCCAAACACGACATACCAAAGTACAGCCCCATCGTTTGGAAAATGCGGATAATGTCTTCAAAATATCGATATGGCTTTCTATACAGACGGATCCAAGATGGAAGAAGGTACAGGCGCTGGCGTCTACTGTGAAAGCTAGGCCTTCAGCTGGATAGCAACTGTAGCGTTCTCCAAGCTGAAATCTTCGCGATTTAGAAGGAAGCGGAATTGATAAAAAGTCTGGATGCATAGATCGTTGAAACAGCGATTATCTTTGTGGATAGTCAAGCGGCTCTTAAAGCCATCAAATCCTGTTACATCAAATCTGAGGCCGTCCTCAAGTGTAGAACAGCTTTGGAAGAACTGACATACAGCTATCGGCTATGTTGGGTACCAGGACACCGTGACATCATGGGTAATGAAAGAGCAGACGAATTAGCTAGTCGAGGATCTCAATCTACAGATCTTGCAATTGATGGCTCAATCAAACCACCCATATGTCATCTTTATATGAACTTTGAGGCGTTCTTCGACGAAAGAGCCTATGAACTTTGGCATAACGAACCTAGGTGCAAATGTGTCAAGATCTATTTTTCCGACTCTGTCTACCAAAAAGAACACTCACTTTTGAAATAAGAGCAACGACAGGAATCATTACTGATCACTGCAATATCCGAACCTTTACCAAGATCTATTTTTCCGACTCTGTCTACCAAAAAGAGCACTCACTTTTGAAATAAGAGCAATGACAGGAATCATTACTGATCACTGCAATATCCGGACCTTTACCAGTAAATGGGACCATGATGCAAATGATTAATGTAGACTCTGCGTTGACGAGGAGGAGAGGGAGACAATTCATCATCTCCTACGTCACTGTCCAGTCCTGTCTTACCGACGGCACAGACTAGTGGGAGCTCATTTTCCACCGAGTCTTAGTTTCTTCTCAACAACGAAACCTGATCTAATCTACAGCATATTAGAAACCTAAAGTGGTTGGGAAAAGTGCAACCTTGACACATAATATATCTTCTGTCCGATCTCTATAGCCATCGTTACTATCTCATACTTACCTTCTCACACTTTCTTGTAAGCTTTCATACCTCCCTATCCCGCCTTCTTCTCATCCGCATAGATCAATGAACCTGACGGTCTCAGAGTGCTGCAGCCACATAAGTAACTACTAATATACAGCATAATTAGAAACCTAAAGTGGTTCTTATCAGTGTTTCCATCACTTGAATTTATTTTTATCGCCATCACTCTATCAGGGTTTCCCCCTGAGACCCACGCCTTTTTATATTCACTGAGTAATATATTGAATTCTTAAATTCTCCACAATCTTGGCCATCATGTTTCACTAACATCCAATATAACAATTTCAGGCCTTCCCATTTCCTTGATATTGTTATGTTGTTGTTGTTTTAGCTGAAGTGACAGACGTTGGCCGAGTAAGACTCGGTTCGTTTTGGATCGTAGACCCCTCTGTCGTGGAGTTTTTCTGGGTTCCATGTTCCAACGTTAAGCGTATAATTTAAAAATTTCAAAATGTCTTACCTGTAATTGAATATCGGCAATTTTATTCCACGAGAATTCAAATTCATTCAATGGAACTTTGGCTGCTTTCAAATAACGCAAGAAACCCAACTCTTCGGGACGTAACATTAAAAGAGCATGACCGGAACTGCCAGTTCCACGGGCTGTACGGCCAACACGATGGATGTATTCCTAAGGAGGAAAAACCAAACAAAAATTATGAAGGGAAATCACATTTTTAAATTAAAGTTCAGTTTAATCAGGTGCAAATTGTGGCTCGGATGCTCACATTTTCATCAAAAAACGATGAGGTATACGATTTAAGTAAATACTATATCCTCTTTATCTTTCTAACTTCAATTGCTCATGTTTTGAGATCATGAACTTCTGAAGAAAACATAAAATATAATCACGACCACGATAAGTTCTGATAAAAATAATTATAAAAAAATTCAAAATAATTTGAGATCAGTTTAAAAACTATCTCAACGTATTTTATCTCTAAATAAAAATTCCCTTACTTTTGGATCATCTGGAGGATCGAATTGTACAATCCAATCAACTTGAGGAATGTCCAGACCACGAGCAGCCACATCTGTACATAGTAAAATACCCTCAGCGGCATTGCAAAATTGGAAGAACGTTGTGGTGCGTTTTGTTTGTTTTTGTTTACCCTAGGGATACGAAAGTTATAAAATATTATTAATAAATCTAAAAAATAATTAACTTACATGAATAGACGTGACGGGCAAATCTATGTAATTAAATAATTCATGATGATATTTAACGGACATACAGGAGGAGAAGAATACCATAACCTTCTTCTTGCGATTCTTTTTCAGGAAGGTAAACAACACCAAAAGACGTTTCTCCGAAGGACATACAATGTAGCCCTGTTCCAAACCACTTACAGTTGCAGTTTCTTTGTTATCGTCAACACCAACATAAATTGGTTCCTTTTTCAATGCCAATTTCGAAAGGGCATCGATTTTTTCCGTTTGTGTGGCCGAAAACAACATTGTTTGACGGCGTTCTGTAAAGTAATGAAAAAATTTAATCAAAATTTATACAAAGAATATGTGTTTTAATTATGACTTACTTGGCAGTAAATTTACAATTTGTTTTAATTCCTCCTCAAAACCAATTTCCAAAATACGATCCACCTCATCAATAACCAAACATTGTAGGTTTTTATACAAAAAGTCGGGAGAGTTTTGAAGATGATCCAACAAACGTCCGGGTGTGGCCACTAGAATATTAACACCCCTACTAAGTTTTTCATTTTCCACTTGACGATTTGAACCACCCATAACTAAGCCATAGGTATGATGATGATATGTCATCAGCTCCTTAAGGACACCAAATGTTTGCATAGACAATTCACGGGTGGGAGAAATAATAATGACACCGGTACCATTGCGGGGCATAAATCTTAATTTATATATCAACTCTACAGCTGGTATTAAAAATGCCAATGTTTTTCCTGACCCTGTACGAGCAGCTCCCACTAAATCACGCCCTTCCAATAGTGGGGGTAAAGATTTGGCTTGAATTTCTGTCATTTCACTAAAGCCCATTTGTTCAATGGCTTTCAGGGTGGGTTCGGATACAATGCCTTTTAGAGAGGCAAAGGAGCGATCCGAGTTATCACGTTTAGCTAAGGCCTCCGCGGCAGCAGTTGGATCAAGTTCCTCGAAACCTTGTTCCTCTTCGGCGGCCTTAGATTTCTTTGACTTTTTATCCGTTTTATTTGTGCTATCAGTTTTAGCTTTTTTGGCAGGCACTTCTTCTTCCTCCTCATCGTCTTCATCACTTTCCTCTTCTTCTGAAAAGTAAAAGAAAAAATAATTATTATTATATATTTTTGTAGAAATATAGGTCTAGAATAGACATCTGCATGAATGCACAAAAACACCACCCATGAGTCACTCACACAAAGTAATGGCTTCTATTCTATAAATTTGTTTGAAATGAAGTCCAATGAGTGAGGGTACAACAAATATGAATTGCTTCAGGTATGAGAGTTTCGAATTTGTTGTGTATTCGTTTGATTCATACAATCCACGTTTCAAATTCGCCGGTATTTATTGTGTATGTTTACTTCGGTATGAATGTATGTTGTAACACACAAAGTTTGAACAAATTTCACGAACATGTTTCACAATAGTGTGTCAAATAAAATCTGAATTACCCGTTAATTGACGAGATATTTTGGTTTTTACACCATCCACAAAAGTATGAAGGGTATGTTATGTTTATTGTCATGAAAACCAATTGTATAAAGTATATATATTCTTAATAAGGACAAATTTATGAATATCAAATGTATCTATATAGCAGAACTTTTCTTTTTTCAATATTTAGATGTTTTTAAACGCACTTTTTTTAAATTCGTTTTAATTTCTTGGTTTTACCGCTCAATATTCCAGTTTACAACTTGTCAGTTCATAACCTATAATATGTTAAGACTTCTGTTGTAATATTACTACCTTCGGGGGTGTCGAGATACAAAACTAAACCGTTACGTTCCAAAATGGCCTTTATCAGTCCACATTAAGTATATCCTCCCGACCGTCCATATATAACCAATGCAATGAAAATCCTGTTGTGTGTTTTTAATGTGTGTGCGAACTTCATAAACCTTCTTTGCAAAGTGTTTGTTCATACTGCCAGTCTAACAAAATATTTAAAACATTTTCGCTTGATTAATTTGAAAATGACACAAGTACATTTATCTAGAAATTGAGATTTTGATACAGTTATGTATAAAAAGCCAAAATACATCGATCTAAAAAATTAAAATATATTTATCTCTTTTGTTATTGTTGTTTTGTAATGGAAAGGCGCTAGGTCCAATTATCATCACTGACTTAACATCACGTAAAGGCTTTAAGCCACATTTCATATTTAGGAATTTGCATGATTTTCACAATTGTCTTAAAATTTTAGGTAATGCACTCCGAATTGCAAATGGTTTTGTCCAGATGAAATTTTGGTAGGTTTGGGTACGCAAACGACTGTAATTTTATATTTAGTCGAAATTATCACCTCCATTTTGGATACGTTTTTCAACCAGTAGGTTCTAATTTGTTATTTTGTTCTCAGTGTGTCAAGCAACAAAAAATAATGTGTTGTTGACTGTACAGACAATTTGAGGATTTCGGTATGTACAAGGTCCTAGTCCAAATTTCCAATAGTCTCTATTTTTGATATTTCTCTTGGTAGTTATTTACCAGGGCATAAAACCCATATAAAAATACCGATCAATTTAAAAATTTGACTGTTCACCTCGCGGCGGTGAGTATAAAAAGGTCGGCCCTGTCGAACTTAAGGACGTTTTAATTATTTTTATTCATATTTTTTAATAAACAATCTCTACTCTACTTAATAATATTATCATGTAAAAAATCAACAAAAGTACAAATTTATTACAGAAATTAAGAAATGTAATGAGAGACAATTTGTAAGAAAATGACCTACGTCCACAAAAACATAAAGAACAAATGAAAAGTCTTTAAGTCCCAAAAAAGTGCATATGTATTTCCGCAAATACTTATTTGTACTCCTCATATAACTTTGTACTCTAATTTTCTGCATAGGCCTATTTTTGTATATCCCTTGAGGAAGATTCCGCCGATTTTTCTTACATCATTTCATTTAACTTTTACTTATTTTTCTGGAGTTTTTATTTACTTGTATTCAATAGAAAAAAATAAAAGACATTATTTCTCACTATTGCTCACTAATAAAGTTTTAAAGAGTGTACAAGGTAAACATTTGCATGTACCTGTACAATAAATGCCCACCATCAATGTTAAGCTGTTGAATGAATACACAGAATACAAAATACATTGCATGATGTTCACTCATTGGACTCATTGATGTTGTATAACTTGTTCTTGTAGTCCATCATACTGAATGTTGTGCTTTCAAGTTTGATCGTTTGTCGGACAAAGCACAACGACACACAACTTCGGTGGTTGAATTCATTTGCACTCATTAAATGTTGTTGTGTACTCTGAATACGACTTAACATCCATGAATGTGGATGTGGATTCATTGTACGAGTACATTCATGCAGATGTCTAGTCTAGAAAAATTCACTATATAAAATCAGTAAAATGTTTATCACATGTTTTTATAGATACACTGAAGACTATAACTTGTCTTCGAATCTATTTCGAATTCGCCTTTGAATCATCATATAAATATCTTCGTAAAAGTGCATTTTTCCCAGGTATCAATTATCAAATAAAATCTGATATGTTTTGCTGCAACTCCGGGGGTCTTAAGCTGACTGAGCCTATTGTCATGAAAACCAATTGTTGAAGATCAACCCAGAATTTTACGATCAAAGACATATGCCTCGTATATAAGTGTACCGATGGACGTAATGTAGGTTCATGGGTCCTCTATACTAAATTCTCAAACCTGATAAGGCCGTTTCAACCGTCGAATTTCTTGGTTTTACCGCTCAATCTTCCAGTTTCAGATTTTAGAATCCCTGTTTTTCCGGCCGAGTCGAACTCAAGTCGTTCCGGTAGGCGCATCCCCACCGTCCATAACCCGAAAATCCTTGGGGTGGTCTTCGATAACCTCCTTCATCCTTCCAGATGGTGAAAGCTAGGAATGAAGTTCTGAAAGCCTTGTCTGGCACCTCCTGGTGCAAAGGATAAAGGCCATATATCGTTCCATCCTGAATTATGCAGCCCCAGTCTGGACTTCTTTCTGTAGTGACACACAATGGAGGTCATTGCAAACAACTCAAAATAATGCACTCCGAATTGCAAACGACTGTGTGCAGATGACGAGAGTCGATCACCTCCATGAGGAGACCAGGATGCTGTCAGTCAAGCTCGGAATTGCAAACGACTGTGTGCAGATGACGAGAGTCGATCACCTCCATGAGGAGACTAGGATGCTGTCAGTCAAACAACATAATGTGTTGTTGACTAGGCAGTTCCTGTTGGCATCATCCATGTCAGACGTCAATAGATTGTCGATAGAAAACGCGATGAAATCCGCGTATCAACTGGCGGTCTCCGAAGCCATAAATGGCTACAGATGCAATAAAATCCTACAACTACATCCTCCTACTATTTCGGACAGTGAGAGACTTCTGTGTAGGCAAACCCTTCCAATTTTTGCACAACTAAGGTCCGGATACAGCAAAACCCTCACGACACACACCATCTATTCAATTGTCCGTCCAAGCCTACAAGTCTATTGCCTATAGATTTATGGCTAAGGCATGGCATTTCCTGCTGACATGACTGATACACTTCCGTGACACATCATTCTGACTTCAGGTGCTAACTTGAAGGCATCCAAGAGGTCATTCCTGCGGACGTCAACACATCGTCAGAAGCGAACATCTACAATTTCGAACAGGTTTATTTCTAGAAAAACTCATTCCGATTTGCCTTAAGGTCCGGATATAGTAATGTATGAAGGGTCAATGTTCTCGGAATATATAACAGGTTCACTCCTGGCAGCAAGGCCTCATGCCATAAATTGTCCATCCGAACCAACAACTCTTCTCATAGCTAAAACCAATGAAGGTGGCACAATTTCTCCAGCTGCATCAAGAAGATATTATGAACAAGGGGACATTTTTGTTATTCGGATTTCAATCGCTTCAAATTGATACCGATATTGCTCTAGAGCATGTGAAAATACAAGAATTCCCGTAAGTACTGATTCCCATATTTAAGAGAGTATAGATTTCCGCAATTATATTACTATAATCAGGCTCCTTAAAATTTTCAAAGCTATCAGCTGCAGGTCCCTATACTTGACTGCTGTTCCGAACTGGCACATGATCATGCACAACAACACCTTATTTCCCATGCAACAACACTTTTTTTCGACAGAATAATGCATTTTTCCTCTAATCACGTCCCAATCGATTCCAACGCTTCTCCGTAGTCCTCATTAAAACTTACCCTCCTCACCACTTTCAGCTTCATCATCTTCCTCCTCTTCTTCACCACTGTCGGCATCATTTTCTTCATCCTCCTCATCATCATCGTCACTATCAGAATCTGAATTTACCACTTGCATTTGTTGTTTCAGTTTCTTTTTATTTGGCTTTTCTTCCTTTTTGGGTAATTTCTTTTTTGGAACCTCCTGGAAATCTCCATTGACTTCATCTTCTAGAAAAGAAAACGTTGCCTTCAAAAGAAAAAAAACACTTGCCGCTTCATGCTCACTTACCTTCCTCCTCCTCATGTTTTGGCACTGGTTTTGTGGGCTTACTGGCAGCACCTTTCTTTTGGGCCAATTCCTTCTTCATTTTCTCACGTTTCTTTATCTTTTTCATTAATAATTTTTCACGTATTGACATCTTTTCTTTTTTAATTCAGTGTATTTTATTCGCGTTCAATAGAAGAATGTTAGCGTTCTGGGTAATGCACGTGTTTATTCAATTCAATAGAAGGGATAAGTAGATCGACTTTTGTAGAGTTGGGTAGTTCCGGAACGAACTAGTTCATTGGAACTATTCCGAGAAAGGAACGAACGGAACTAGTTCCAGTTCTAAACTTCGCTTGTTAATCGTCGTATATATGGAAAAACTGAGAGAGAGAGATTCCAAGACTTCAAAAATTCGCGACGTCGTACGCAAACCTTCGCCAACAAATGGTCTGTTCCAGTACTTTTTATACCCTCCACCATAGTATGGAGGGTATATTAATTTTGTCATTCCGTTTGTAACTCATCGAAATATTCATTTCCGACCCTATAAAGTATATATATTCTTGATCAGGGTAAAATTCTAAGACGATCTAGCCATGTCCGTCCGTCTGTTGTAATCACGCTATCTTCTGAAGGAATTGAGATAGGGTGCTGAAATTTTGCATAGGGTTGTCTTTTGTCTGCAGGCAGGTCAAGTTCGAAGATGGGATATATCGGTCCACGTTTAGGCATAGCTCCCATATAAGGGTACCCCCCAATTTTCGGTATTTTGGGGTTCTTGAGCGCGTTTTTCAAGCGAATTTGTAGTAAATGTATCCACAAAAAATTATAAATATAGGTCCACTTTTTCTTGTAGCCCCCATATAACGGTACCTCCTAATTTTCAGTATTTTTTGGGTTTTTATCGTATTTTTCACCGAATTGGCTGTAATTTAGTATTTTGAGTTCTTAGCAGGTACCAAATCTCTCCACAAAAAAATGTAAATATAGGTCAATTTTTTCGGATATCCCCCATATAAGGGTACCCCCCAATTTCGGTATTTTGGGGTTCTTGAGCGCGCTTTTCAACCGAATTCGCTGCAATTTTGTACATTGGGTTCATATTGCGTACCAAATATCTCTACTAAAAATTATAAATATCGGCCCACTTTTTCTGGTAGCCCCCATATAAGCGCACCCCAAATTTTCGATATTTTGAGGTTCTTAAGCGCGATTTTCAACCGAATTCGCTTTCATATTGGGTACCAAATATCTCTATTTAAAATTATAAATATCGGTCCACTTTTTCATTTCATTTCAAATACCTTCAAAATCAACATAACAAAAAGTTTACAAAGAGAAAGCCATTTTGTTTTGTGCTCTCTTAAATTTGATTCAATGCTTTAACAGTTTTATGGGTTCAGGAACGGTTTTCGAGTAAAAAGTTGCAAAACTTGTAAAATTAGTAGATTCTTTTAGGTTTTGGAACGGAGCTAAAATAAAAACGACGACTGAAAAAAAATGAAAAACGGTCCACCTGCTAACGAATGGGAGGAGAAGACAAAATGGCCGATAAAGATGAACTCAAAATGGTATAACCGAAAGTTTACGAATGAGGTGGGATAGAGACTAAATGGAAACCGTGTTGTTTCGAATGGTTAGGCAAATTATGATTAGGGATAAGTAAATCGACTTTCGATTAATCGACTTTTTGTATTGAAAAGTCTAATGCCATGTACAGACGAGCGTTGTTCCCTCTCTCATTCGTGGTTCGACTCTTAATTATGAAGTAATTACATAGTTCAAAGGAACTACATTAAGGAACTAGTTCCTTTTTAAAAAAGAAACGAGAATGATCGATCCGCTACGTGAACTAGATTGCCCAACTCTAGACTTTTGACTAATCGATTAATCGACTTTTTGTATTGAAAAGACTAGAAGTCGAAGCCGACTTTTGATCTTTGAGGAAATCACAAATGGTCTGTTCCCCTACTGCAAGAATCTACAAATGTTTACATTTTCTCCGATATAATAAAGGAAAAATTTGGTCTGTTCCCGTACTCAACTTAACTAACTTTCCTTTATGATATCGAAGAAAATAGTAAGATCTAGAAGATTCTTGCAGTAAGGGAACAAACCAATTATTGTCGTAGTAAAAAGTTGTATATTCTTGCAGGTTCAGGAACAGACCAAAAGTATATTGATATCCTTATATATTTAATATATTAACTATCCTTATAGCAAATAAATTTTTCAATAAACATGAAACACGGGAATTTAGCTAAGGTAACGATTAGAATTCGATGGGATTTATCGAGGAAATCCGGTATAGCTGAGTTCTCAACTTTTGATTTTTTTATTTATAATTGGTCTGTTCCCGTACTGCAAGAATCTACTACTTTTTACTACGATAACAAATTTTCCTTTATTTTCTAGTAGTTTTAGTAATTGTGGTTCATCTAGACCTTTATTATAAATATGAAAGTGATTTTCCGAAAAAAATGAAATAAATACAATTGTTTTTGAAGATCCCTAAGTACCTCCCAGGTCGAACACATGTTTATTTCTAAATTCGAAATGAGGAAAATATCAGGTATGGACCAGATCAAATCATGTTTTACTAATGCTCCCATATAACAATACAAGTTTTCAACCAAATTATCTATAGTTTGATATTTTGGTTTCTCTATACTAAAAATTAATAATATTGGTCCAGTTTTCAGTATATCTGCACGACCAAATTTCGTTATATTGAGGATTTTGGACACGTTAATCGATTTGGATTGGTTGTAATCTGGTATGTCAGGTTCTAATTGTGTACCAATTTTTAACAGTTTTTACAACCAATTACATGCCAGTGTGGCAGATATTGTCCAAAAGCTGAAGCCGCTTGTGGTTGTGTGTCAGCGCCGTCAGCTGTATGTAGACGATAATAGTGTTATCGATAAATTAAAATCGTTAAATCATATGGGAATGATAACACATTTTTGTTGGGTGACGAGGGAAATCAATTCGAAATTGTAGCAAATTGCAAGCCGTTAACGAAATTGAATATTTAGCGGTGGCAATATCGAAATATTTAGAATTTAAATCAGTGTATAAAACCACACGGTCTTAGAATGAATCATTTTGCCCAAATTAACGAAAAACGATTATTTTGTTCCAAAGTTTTACCAAGTCCTTGCAATGGAGGCTATATTTGACCTTAGGTCCTCCACAAATCTATGTCTATGGAGCCCCAAAAGAGATCGACGATGGAACAGCAACCAGCCACAAAAAAACCTTTGTTGACGAAAGCAGCTCAGCCTGCGATCTCGCATGTTCAAGTAGCGGTCAGGAATCGTAGTGGAAAGGATGTCATAGGGAAGACGAAAATTCGAGCTATTAACAAGTCTTCACAGAAACCTTCAGGTTCAGCTCCAAAGACAGCAGCGTGATTAATCAAGGAATTGTGTGCTCAGTTCCGGTGTCTGTATTTGTCGATAGTCAAGCGGCACTTAAAGCAATCAGGTCGTGGACTATAAATTAGCTCTGAGGCATTTTGTAAGACTTTGTTGTTGTTCCAGATCATATTGACATTAAGGGATATGAAGAAGCTTGCTCGATGTGGGACGCTGTCAATCGATTTAACAATTGATGGCACTGTTAGAACTCAACTTAGAATTTAGGTATAGAACATGTATGTTGTAACCACATTGTAAATTATCGATCCCTGATTTTGTAGGCTAAAAATGCTTATTCAAAGAATATTTTCAATCTATTCCCATATAAAAGTTCCGGTCTATTTTAGATATGTTCGTGGTCTTAGCCTATATTTTCTAGCAAAAAGAAGGCTGTAATTTGATATTCAGTTCCCTTGTTTTTCTTTAAAAAAATTGAATGAAGGTCCATATTCGGACATAAACTCATATAAATGTCCCGGCCTATTATAAGTATGTTGTTGGCATTTCCCGATTTTTTAGGCCTATAATTTGGTATTCCAGACTCTAGGAATGTGCCGGTCTATTTTAGATATGTTCGTGGTCTTAGCCCATATTTTCTAGCAAAAAGAAGGCTGTAATTTGATATTCAGTTCCCTTGTTTTTCTTTAAAAAAATTGAGTGAAGGTCCATGTTCGGACATAGCCTCATATAAATATCCCGGCCTATTTTAGGTATGTTGTTGGCATTTCCCGATTTTTTAGCAGAAGGAAGCCTGTAATTTGGTATTTCAGACTCTAGGAAATACGACATCGCAAAAAAATCAATTTCAATTTAATGATTTGTAATGATTTGACATTTTCCGTATATAGCGGGACCAATTATAATTGTTTGGATTGATTTTTCAGTATATTCCATTATTCTTTTTTTACTTTATTTGAAATTCTAATGGTGAAGGATATAAACGTTTCGGTCTATGAATTTCAAACATATACATACATAATTATAGCACTATAAATTATAAGTATTTTTATTAATTAAAGGATAAACAATAGTTTTTTTTTAAATAAATGCATTTTCACTAAAAATAATATCATATGATAATTTGTTACTTAATTTACATTAAAGATTATTTGTCGATGAATCATGATGATTTATTTCTAATTACAGCGCATTCACGCTCTTCTTTGGTCTGATCTTTATCACCCCAACCCCATACATGATGATTACCATCACCGGTACGTAATACACGTCTCTTTATGGTTTCCGGCGAAACGGTTTTCAGATCATAAGCCAATCCCAATTTGGCAAAGAATTCAATAAACCAGGAACTTAAATTTGCCGAAGAACCACCCAATTCAGCGGCCTTATAATCCCAGGGGAAAACATGATGATAATTGTGATAACATTCACCAATGGTCATGGTGGAGATAAAGGGATTCTCGCCGGGATTGAAACTTCTACAAAAGATTGGTAAGGAATGAATTTTATAAATATTTGGAAACAAATATTTAATTTTAATCTTACTTATCATAGGGTTTGTTGCCAAACAAATGACAGACACTGTTGATACACCAGGTACTATGCAGAACGAAATACCAACGCATAACGGCACAAACAAACCAGGCATTCTTCACCGATTCACCCCACCATATGACGGGTATCACCGTGGGTAATAGAAATGTGAATGACAACATCAGTGGGATATAGTATCTGAAAGGAAATTTAAACACAAATAAATATCAGTGAGTGGAATTTTCCAAAGGTAATGGAAATCCATTGAGGTAAATAATTTCCAATTTTAATATTTATTTTCAAATTTAAATATTTTGTATACTTTATAGTTTCTTAACTTACTTATGCTGGAACATAACAATGGGATTCTTTTCCAAATCCGACATATCCACTGTTTGCCCCTTGGTCTTGACATCCGGATGTTTCTTCACCATTAACCAACCCATGTGTGAGAAAAAGAAACCACGCATTGCATTGTGAGGATCAGCATCGGTTTCGGAGAATTTGTGATGAACGCGATGATCACGACACCAATCGTATATGGAATTTTGAAAAGCCATACAATTGAAAATCATTAGCATTATTTCCATGGCCGGTTTTGATTTGTAGGCACGATGAGACCATAGGCGATGGGCACCGACTGTAACACCAAAACCGCTCATGTAGGCGACAGCAAAGGCTAAAACAGAAAACAAGAAAAAAATGTATTATGTCAGAACAGGCCGGGAGGAGGGGATCCAAAATACTTAAAAGTCTGACGGGATATTTATATGGGGACTGTGATAAAAAATCTTTCAGAAGATTTTGTATCTTCCGAGAAATTTCTAAATATCATGACCATTATGTGAAGAAATGTTAAATCATAGACCAGCATTGTATATTTTCTTCAAAAATTTTTGTTTGCCTTCCAGAAAGCCGGAGGAATGACAAATTACAGCCCCAAAATCTTCAAATATCATTTTCAATATCAAAAGGAAATAATTATAAAAAAATCCTCATTATGGTGGAAAAACTGCCCAGTAATTTTTTTCATATACCTCCCCGTAGTAGTATCCTATCTTATTGCCAAACTTACCAAAAACATATGACTGCCATTTTATGGAGAATGAAAAGAACAAATAGAATCCATACAGAGCCCATATGGTAATAATTCCAAACAAGACAACATTTAACCAAACAATTTCACTTTTACGTTGATCGGCTTGCTTTAATTTTTGTATATCCTTGGCCAGGCCGCCATCTGTTGTATCGGCCTCTTTTTCATCCAGTATGCCAGTTGTTGTGCCAGCATATTGATTACGGATTTCTGTTTTCGGTGTCATATTTTTCTGTAAGTAAGTAAATAAATCAATCAATTATTTATTATATTATTATGGATTTTAATTTAATGTATTTGTTTGTTTATTAATTACAGAATGACCTGTGTCATTAATGCATGAACTGGTTTTCGAATCCAAACAACAATTTCCTATACAATTATATATTCAAATTGGACGAATATGAACTTTGATATGGGCATAGAAGGAACAGGAACGAAAATGCGTATATAGGGAGATTTTACCAAAAAACCCGGTGAGACAAAATATATCTAATGGAAAATTTATTTTCCACAAGGAAATACGTAAATGATAAGTTTTTTGATCAGTATATATATTTGGAACACAATGATTCATGAATTGACTCGATTGACACTACATCAAAGTGTATACCTATATAATATGTATAGAATAAATAGCTTTTAATCCTACAAATCCCCAGGCCCAAATGGCATAATACCGGCCATGCTACAACATGCTCAAGAAGGGGTATTACTCATCCTGCAGGACATTTTTAGGGCATGTCTGCTCTTACATATCTAGTCTATGGAAAGAGGTCATACGCTACCTGACCAATTAACCTCTCTTCCTTTCTACTAAAGACTTTAGAAAGGTTACTAAACTCTGATATTAGGAATACTGTCGACCACAATAAAATTAGCAAAATCCCAGCATGACTACATAAAACGCAAATGTGGTTGGACGTATCTAGAATAATATGGAGTCCTCCGGTCACACATTGGCTGCGTTCCTCGATACTAAAGGAACCTTCAATAATGTGAAACGGGAGGCTATCCATTCTGCTCTCGATACCTCAGGTGCCCTCTCTCTCCTAACGGATTTGATTATTAGAATGCCGGAACGTAGAATTATCAATTTGCCTGTGGGAGAGAATTTCGTGAGGAAATCTGTCAACAGAGGAGGAGTATTATCTCATCTTGTATGGCTTCTGGTGATAAATGAGATACTGCTGAAATACGACCATATTAAAAAACTGTTGTAGTCTATGCTGAATATATAGTTTTGCTAGTCGATGGGAAGTTTCTGTCGACTATTTTCGATATCATGGAGGGTGCCCTTTCAACTCCGTCCAACTGGAAACATGCCAATGGTCATGGCGTAAATCCCACTAAGACATAAATGGTGCTCTTCAGTAGTACAATCCTTGATCACTAATTAACGTGGAATAGGAATGATGAGGAACGCACTAAGAAAGGACTAATGTCACTCCATTCCTGCAAGAATTCTATCGGTAAAGAGCTGGGTACTAAAACCAGAGATCATACACTGGCTGTACGTCACGATTGTACTCCCTTATATATATTATACTGTTACATATGGATGCCTTGTATGATGGCAATGGGTCATCATCATCATACTGCTGGTTAAAATGAATACAGTAGAGCGATCGGCTTCGATTCTGATAACTGGAGCGCTAAGACGCACATCACAAACAGCCTCGAATGCAATCTTCAACCTCCAACCATTGGACTCTCTGGTTAAAATTCAGGCTTCTAGATGTTTCCTATTAGGGAATCCTGGACTTGTGGCTCTTTACCTCTGACCGTTCTGTCGATTTTTACAGACAGGTCTAAGATGGAGAAAGGTACTGATGCAGGCGTTTACTGCAGCGAACTAGAAATCTATAACTCATATAAACTTAATGATCTTCGTAGCACAGTAATCCTGCCAATAACGAAAGCGGCTGAGTTAGTCAAAACACTTACTGCAGATAACATAGGACCGGTGACTATATATGTCGATAGTCATGCGTTTCTTAAAGCTTTTAAATCGTACACTATTAACTCAAAAGCGGTTCGTGACTGCAAGGTTGATCTTCGTGATATACGACGGATTGTTAAATTATGTTCCAGGTTCCATGACAGCTAATGAGATTGCCGACGAGCTTGCTCGAGGAGGTTTACAGTCGTCCAATCTTCCGATTAAGAGATTTGTACAACCGCCTATTGGTTATTTTATTGGCAGAATCCGTTTGAAATACTGCGAGGTAGCCGGCAACAAATGGTCAAGCGAACCTGGATGCAGGATCTCGAAAACTATCTGGCCAAAATTCTCTCGCCCTAGAACTTCTTCGCTGTTGTCCCATTATAAAAGAGAGATATTAAAATCGCTGTAAGGGTTTATAACAGGTCACTGCAGGATTAGGTCTGTCACTTCAAAATGGGACATAAACGGAGTAGATTACTGCGGTCTATGTGAGGATAAGGAAAACCTAGAAAAAATTAAACATATCCTTTGTAGGTGTCCATCGCTGAGTGGCAGAAGACACAGGCAGTTTGGCAAATATGAAATTGATAATCCAGCATTATCCTCCGCAATAGACCCAAAGAAGATCCTAAGCATTTTTAAGTTTTTGACATGGCTAAAAAAACCATATTTCTATATTCTTCAAACTTCCAATATCTTTCATCTCTCTTTTAAGGTACCAAGGATGAACACAATGGACACATGTCTCTGAGTGAACGGTTGCAATCAGCAGCCGTACATCCCGATTTAAGGATTTTCCTATACAGAGGTCGTCAAACTGGATTATCCACCTTATATTTAAGAACAAAAAATGAATTTAAAATACTCTCGGGTGGGTAGACATAGGTATTATTTACAAACCCTAAATTTTTAAAAATAAAACTTTTCATTCCTTAATTTATCACAGCAAACATCAGAAGAAAGGTTTAAAAAATCGAAATATTTGTTTCCGACAATTTAGTGAATCTCAGATTTATTGATGACAAACAGTTGTTATGTTGATTTCGAAGTATTGCCATCTAATTTTGGCATATTTACTAGATTTGCGTTCCCGAACTTTTCAAATTATTTTGTAATCTGAGAGCGTTTTTGAAATATTTCCCTTCTACTAGCATTACTATTGAAAAAGTACTGGAATAGACCACATATCTTTTAGTGTAAGGCAAAAGACCCAATTAAAAAAATTGTCACTTTTTTATAATATAACTTTTTAACAGCATCACATAGTAATAATAAATTTTTAACAAAACTTTTTTAAAGTCCATATATTTAATACACACCTTGCAGAAATTACACTTAACTTTAAAATACACTTTTTTGTAACAAATACAATTCAAACACTATCCTTTACTTCAGAAGGATATTACACTGTTTTCAAATTTTTATTCGTTTAATTCATTTGTCGAACTGTTTAATATCACTGTCTCGATCGCAATGGTCTCTGAAAATGTTCACACTAAAACTATAACCACAAATAATGCTATTTAATAAATTTTAAATTTCAATTATTCAATAAGTGAATAAAGTAATATGTTTCAACGCATTAATGTATATATATAGTTACGCTACTATTTGAAAGAATATATATTATTATACTCTCCAATATAAGGTGTCATTACGTTGGAGACCCCTGGATAATATATATTCAAAGCAGTAAGAAAAGTAGTAAAGTCGGACTGGGCCGACTATATGATACCCTTCACCACTTTGGGTATATTGTACATATGTATCCTTACAATTGCTTGACAATGTTCCCTCGACGGAACATACTCATGTCTTTCTACAAACTATGCTAAATTTAATTTTATTCGGGCAGATTAAGAGTCGTCTGCGTACCTTGGGACAAGTCTCAATGTGATACGTTGTGCAAAATTTCGTGTTAATCGGACAAACATTAGTAGGTTTGGTTCACCATTTATGTAAAATCGCACGAATATATATGTATATGTGGGAGCTATATACATCGAAATCTGAACCGATTTTCCCGAAACTTACCACACATCATTCTAGACCCCATTCAGTACGCTATGCCAAATTTCGTGCAAATCAAAGGATATATAGGGACTTTGGTGCATCATTTACATAAAATCCGACGAAAATATATATGGGTGCTATATCTATATCTGAACCGATTTTCACGAAACTTAGCACTCATTATTCTAAGCTTATTTCAGTAGGCTGGCCCAAATTTCGTGCAATTCGAATGATATATAGGGACTTTGATGTCCCATTCACCTTAAATCGGACGAAAATATATATGGGAGCTATATCTAAATCTGACCCGACTTTCTTAAAACATTGACACACATCATTCTAGACTCAATTCAGCACATTGTGCCAAATTTCGTGCAAATCGAAGGGTCTTTGATGCTCCATTTACATAAAATCGGGCCAAACTATATATCTAAATCTGAACCGATTTTCTCGAAACTTAACACACGTCATTCTGGATCTAATTCAGTACCATATGTCAAATTTCGTGCAAATCCAAAGATATATAGGGACTTTGGTGCCCCATTCACCTTACATCGGACAAAAATATATATGGTAGCTATATCTAAATTTGACCCGATTTTCTCGAAACTTGACACAAGTCATTCTAGACTCAATTCAGTATACTGTGCAGAATTTCCCACAAATCTAAAGATATATAGGGGCTTTGGTGCACAATTTACATAAAATCGGACAAAACTATATATGGGAGCTATATCTAGATCTGAACCGATTATCTCGAAATTTAACACACGTCATTCTGGACCGAGTTCAGTACTATGTGCAAAATTTGTGCAAATCGGAGGATGTATCGAGACTGTGGTGCCACATTTACCTTAAATCGGACGAAACTATATATGGGAGCTATGTTTAAGTCTGAACCGATTTTTTTTTTCAATTTCAATAGGGTTCGTCCTTGGGCCAAATAAGTGACTTGTGCCAAATTTCATCCAAATCGAATCATAAATGCGACCTGTACTTTGTTTACAATTTAACATCTACAGACGGACGGACGGATATGCATAAATCGACTCAGGAAGTGAGTCTATGCATATTCTCAAAAAGAACCATGTGCCTATTTCGTTTCCTTTCGCCTGTTACAAACATATGCACAAAGACATAATACCCTTTACCACAGTGTGGTGAAGGGTATAAAAAGGATATCAAACATACTGACAGGAAACTTTTCACATTTGTCCATTTTGACAGAGCCTCCAAAAAAGTTTTCTGTCCGATTATAGGTATTTTGAAAATCCTAGTATAATTTCCCAGCCGATGCGGTTGTAATTTAGGCTTATTTTTATATAGTCCCCATATAACTTCCGGCCTCCTTGCCTCATATTACGACCGAAGTAATATGGTCTATTGGTTTCCTTAAAAAGAAAATACCTGATCGTTTATCAGACAGACGGACGGGCGTTGATAAACCATCTTCAAATTTTCAGAAAATATTTTTAGTCTATAGCTTCTTATTACAATTTATTTATTTGTCGTAATATATATTTAAGAATTAATCACAATTGTAGGGTATTCCATAGTCGGAGTAAATCAAACCCATTTTCCTTTTTTTAAACATTTCTAATTTTAACAACGTGTCCGAATTATCCGTTGTACACGTGATGAGGCCTAAATGGGGAAAGTTGTTATTGTTTAACAGCGCCACCTATTGCGTATAAATTCAATTTCAAAAGTTGTACTTAAATTTTCGTCACGTTGTATCTCGAATCGATGCGACGACAAACGATTATTGAATTAATTTATTAATTAGTAATTCATTAGGCCCAGTAATTATTAATTATTAATAACGAGAACAAATTAACAAACAATTGATGTCAGAGCGATAATGGTTTCGCATTTGCAGTAGAAAATTTTATATTTTTAAGTCGTCAGAAGAAGAGGATTACTATTTTAAAATTAAACGGCCTATATAATAAAGATATACATAAGTTTTAAATATGTATACAATTAAAAAAAAAATAAAAATAATTGTTATCAATGAAAAAAATAAATTATTTCCTAATTTGCAGATGTTGAAAAGTGCGCAAAAAAATAAAATAATGATTTCAAACGTTATAAGACTAATTAATGAAATGGGAAAATATAAATAAATCTGTAGACAAAGGTAAATAATGCCAATACTATAAATATAAACCAATAAATTGATCTATTAATAGATGATGAAATAAATTAAAAAATTATGGGAATATCAGTCAGGTTTTTCGACAAATATGCAAATATGTTACACTTTACCGTTCAGTAAAAAAAAAATATTCAAACTGTACCCAATATTTTTGTCTTCGTATATGTCAATCAAAAATAGAATCATTTGAATTTATTTTTTATTATATAGATTTAAGATTGCAAGAAATATTAATTTTAATATATTGATACTTTTTATACCCTCAGCCTTACGGCTAAACAGGGTATATTCACATTGATACCCCATGTTTCTTTGGACCAAATCCGTTTTAGACAATTTGAAGTCGATTTACAAATGTCTGTTTAGAAGGCTGGGCGCACAATAGCTCTCGGTGGGATTTCAGCCAAACTTCCACATTTTAATATTTCTTACAAATGTTCGAAGATATGTAACATCGGTCCATACCTTCGGGTACATCCCACACCAAATGGTCAACAGTGAAATAGCTGAAAATGTATTTCTCTAAACCTACATTGAATCCTAGTGTGGGGTCTATAGTGCAACCTCTTCTGGTACCTCTATAAAAATGGTCCCTTTGATAAAAAACATATACATTGTATAAAGCGCATAGTAAAACCTGTGTTTAATTCCGTAGACCTCTGTTCTCTGACCGACTGATATTTTTTTACTTGTAGACCTTTAAAAAATACACCCTTTATATTAGTCCTTAAAAAAATGTAAAAAAAAATCCCTGCCTCATATTAGGTTTTTCCCCCACCATTAGCATTTAAAGTTAACACATTTAACATTAGCAGTTAAAAAAACCAGTGAGCGGAGCAGTATAGTCGGACGGGGCCGACCATATGATACCCTACACAACTTCGACGAAAATCTAACTTTCTATGGTTCTATATTCAGAGCTTGGTCAATATTTCGCGATATTTGCACCCTCTAGACCGACTAGATGTCAACAAATATTTATAATATTCAGTAGGCGAGGGCTGTAGCTGTCCAGATTATCTTTACCGTCCGTTATGTTGTGATGTTGAGCTTTCAATTGTGGCCTGTATATCGACTTAAAAAACAAAAACACAAAAAATTAAGTTTTCGGTGCACTTACTTCCACAATTATTATCTGATCATCACCGAAAATTATAGGCGTTATCCTTGACCATACCTGAACCCTCATGGAAAATATCAAAGCGATCAGCGCTATATTTCCATCCTCCAGTGTGGTAATAGTTTACTAAATAATATTAGAATACGCAAGGACCTGTAAATATTTAAGTATAACTCCCAAATCCGAGTAGATACGACAATATAATTGGTATCAAGTTAAAGGCCAACCACTCGTCTTGGATATACTATCAACTTCTCGGGTCTATTTTCTTCTGAAATAAATATATACACCATAGAATACAAATTTTGTAATTTTTCACACAAAAGTCTGGGTCCATTTGACCCGCTAAATATTGGCCGATCTTTGTCAAAATAGGCTTGCTTATTCTTTGGCCCAATCCCCTTCTCCATGTAAAACTTCGAGATGGTTGGGCCATAATTGCGGCCTCTGGAGCGAACAGAAAAACGAGCGAACAAAATTTTAGTATTTGGTCCATTTCATCCCCTAAATATTAACCGATCTTTACCAAAAACAATAGGGGTCTTCATTGGACCGAACCCCTCCTACATGCAAAATTTCGTGAAGATTGGTCCATAACTGTGGCCTGTATCGTGTTTACAAATTATAATGGACAGACGGACGGACACACATGTCTAGATCGACATGTGTGTCCGTCCGTCCGAGATATGACGATCCGTATACTTAAAGGTGGGTCTAGGAACAATATTTCGCGGCGTTACAAACTCTTGTGGCTGCACAAAGCTATAATACCCTGACAACATAGTTGTGTAGGGTATAGTTATTCTTTAAATGATTCTTGCTCCATTGAAATTTGCCTAAATATTCCTAAAAACGCCACCCTATCGATACATAAAAATTTACTCTTTTCGTATTTTATTGATACACATAAAAAGTACATCGCTTTCTCTATCTAATAATGAAAGGTTCATTAAAATATCTTTCTTTTTGGATCTACGCAATCAATAGATGGCGCTGACGACAGTGTGCTATGATGTATGGAATATTTCATTGTATGGGAGGTACTAGAACGAGCGGACCGATGGGTTTCATCTTCGAATTAGATTAAAGTTTAAAAGAAATATTACGATGTGTATATTTTTTATCAAATTTGATATTTTACACGATTGTTAGTTGATTAACCTATTCTCAAAATTTAGACCCTTGTTGGGATACAGATACAGGCAATAAAAAGGCTTGGCAAAATATTATGTTGTGCAAAATTTGAATTTATGTTTATCATTATGGGTATGGATTGTAGACAACATTTGATGTAGCAATCAGTGTTGCCAAAACTTTGTTTATAAAAATTTTATAAGAGAAATTAGTAGAATTGGTTGTAATTTTTAATATTTTTGATTCTCATTAGGTAAAAAGTTCCCTAGCGAAAATTATCAATGTGGGTCTAAGTTTCGTGATAGGCCCTAGAAAACGAAACGGACACGTATTTCCATCATATTGACCATAATTTGAAACTTTTGATATTAATGATGTGTCAAATTTCCCCAAAACCCCACAAAATTGTCAAGGCGAAGGTTTGCACATAGAGGTTCCATCCTATTTGCGCCCTTTTAAGATTTAGAACCTTTTTTCGCCGAAGTGGCTGTTTTTTAAAAATATGTTTGCCGAAATTTGTCGATGTAGGCCCTATTTTGATATAACCCCATTATATAGTGGTACGCGACCCATTTTCCGAACTCCGAAGTGGCTAAATCTGACATTCCGGATTCCCAGTGAAAAAACTTCTTTCCAGAAAGTTTCAGATTAGGTTCGTGATTTGTACATGGCTCCCATTCAAAGGCCCTCTCAATTTGACTTTTCATTTTACCAAATAAACAACCTACCAGCATGCGATTATGAATCCTGTGGGTTTTAAATTGATTCCCGCCTAACGGCTTTAACCATGATGCACCATTGGGTGTCGAAATTGAGCGTCGACCAGCTCCTCTTTGGGAAAGCTCAGAATACTCCAATACCAATTCGAAGATCCGCTGCAAAGCTTCAGTTCCTCTTTTGTGAGGAGTAGGCGCCTTTTTATGGGTCAAACACCCGGTTGATGATGCAACTCCACATCGAGCTGAAGCTCTTCCAACGAAAAATGATATAGCAACCAAATGTTGTACCTAACCATTTTTTTTAGAAAATTTTAATACACTGCACATGGTGCAGGGTATACGAAGTTCTGATCGGCCAAGCTTCAAGATATTTTACTTGTTTACAGATGTTCTGACATTTTTTAACATTTGAAAATCAAACTCATACCGTGAAACATAGCTACATTTTAATGTGTCAATCAAAATAATACCCCAAATTTTGACTAATTCCAGAAAAAAAATAAAAATGCTAAAAAAGGTGCTAAGTGCTAAATAACTTTTTCTGGTGCTAAACGAGTTTGAAAAGTGCTAAATCTAGCACTATAAGTGGTAGCAATCAAGCATAGGACTTTGGCGCCCGACTGTCGGTATATCTTTGACACGTTTCCATTTGAATTGGATCCATATTTTGTTGAAGATTATGGACAGTTTGGAGAAAAAAACAACGGCTCTGTACTTTTCCGAATTTCCTTAAGCTCCTAAATATACCGAAAATTGGAAAATTGTAGTCGGATTTTCCAACCGAAGTGGTTTAAATTTGACATTCCAGGGGTTTCGCTATTTTGAAGGTTTTAACCGCGAATTAACCACAAACCGACAAATCTGGACAAAATTTTTCAATGGATCCATTGACTGCATAGTCTTATTTTTCATGTTTTTATAGTTTGGCTCAATTCTTCAGATTTGAGTATTGTCATAATGTATGATGTCTAAAAATACACATCGTATGCCGTTTATGAGTATATTTCTGGATCAAAGTCTTCGAGGAATAAAGTATATTTTGGTTCCATGTCATATTTGTAATTGCAAATTTTCCATTACACATTTACAACATGCTGATAGTGAGCAATTTGTTGTTGCTGTCGTTTTCCTGTATTAGACATTTTCACGACAATACGGCAGTCATATAGTTGTCACGTTGCAATCGAAATAAATTTATTCAATAAAAAATATAAACAAGTTACAACAACAAATCTATGCATGATAATTCAATTATTCAATGAGGCGATTATTTATATGTAATTCGGAAAGAAGAAAGAAAACGAAACAAAAACCAATTGATGTCATATTAGAAAAGTAATTGAAAATATTATTCATTCCGCGTCAGACAACACAATTTATTTCCGAACATAAAACGTATGTAGGTTATGTTTTTGTAATTAGTACAATAACCTCACGTGGAAATGTTGTAAGAAATAATTTATTTGTTCTTCTGTTGCATGTTCAATCGGTTGAGGGAAATTGAAAGTGAACAATTTGTTGATGATTTAGTATTAGATGATGTTTTGAACTGAATAAAATTCACGTTTTCTAATGATTCGCGGTATAACTTATGGTGATATACTAAAATGGTGGTATGACAACTCAAGTATGCCTGGACTCAATTCGGAAGGAAAAAGAAACATTGGTTTATAATAACCTCCAACATATGGTGTAGTATTTGCATAAATAACATTTAACCAGTGAGCGGAACAGTATAGTCGGACGGGGCCGACCATATGATACCCTACACAACTACTACAGAACTTTAACTTTTGCTTATGTTTATTTCGAGCCTGATCAATATTTCGTGATATTTTACCTCTTGGCCGTTTAGAGATCAATAGCACCTCTTCCTTACATTGACATATTTTCCGAATATCCCAATATTCTGTACAGCCCTTCTAATTACTTGTCCAGATTCACTTCACCGTGTGTTGTGATTTTCGGTTTTGTACCTGGACCCTCAAGGAAAATTTCAAAGCGATGAGCGCTATATTTCCCCCCACTATTGTGGCAATATGTTACTAAATAATATATGAATACGTAAGATCCTGAAAATATTTACGTGTAACTCCCACATCCGAGTACATACGACCATATAATTGGTATCAATTTAAAGGTGAACCACTCCTCTTGGATATACTATCAACTTCTTGGGTCTATGTCCTTCAGGAGTATATAGAATACAAATTTTGTAATTTTTCACACAAAAGTCAGGGTCCATTTGACCCGCTAAATATTGACCGATCTTTATCAACACAGACATGCTTATTCTTTGGACCGATCCCCTTCTCCATGCAAAAATTTGCGATGTTTGGGCCACAATTGCGGCCTCTAGAGCGACCAGAAAAACCGACAATAATTAAGTATTTGGTCCATTTCATCCCCTAAATATTAACCGATCTTTACCAAAAACAATAGGGGTCTTCATTGGGCAGAATCCATCCCATCCTTAAAGGTGGGTCTAGGACCAATAGTTCGCGGTGTTACAAACTCTTGGGGCTGCACAAAGCTATAATACCCTAACAACATAGTTATGTAGGGTATAAATATAAGACCAAGTTTTGTTGAAGCCTCCATATAAATATGCCATCCCATTTCAGGATTTTTAGTCTCAATTTTTAACCGAAGTGGTTCTTGAGGTTCTTGAGTGGTTCTTAAAAAAATTAAATATAAAACTCCTTGTACATTAGAACTTTTTACCGGGTTAACCTACTTTATGAGGATTTATTTGACATATGTGCAAAGGAAATGACAATTGAAACCCACTGGGTTAACGAAATCCGGTTAAATGTAAACGTACTGTAAGTCTACGTTTTGACATTGCTCCCCTGCAAGGGACCCGTCCCTTAGTCGAACACAGATATACAAATGGTACAATGATGCATTGAAGAGCTTCGCACTATTCAAAGCAGCTGGGACAGAGGCAGGCTATCATATACATCACCATATTTAACGCAGGAAGCTAGGGTAGTCTTCATACCATACGCAACACCAAAATCATATCGGCCAATAAGCATAAATTATTTCGTTCTCAAAATTATGGACAATCGACACAATGACTAAGAGCAACAATGTGGAAGATCAGTGGAAACTTCTCTGCTAGAGGTGGTACACCTCTTTGAAAGCACCTTCGAGAAGAAAATGTTTACTTTAGTTGTATGCATAATAATGTCGTCACTGAAACACTTATCCAATTCAAACAGACCTTTCGAGTTGATCAGGCTATCATAGCCTGGGTCAGTCACATACTAAGGAATAGATGGATAAACTGTTGCAAAAAAAGACATAAATATCAGAGAGAAAGTAGGACAAGGGACTCCGCTTTTGTGGGTTACCACTATTAATCTCTTAAGGTCTTAACTGAGAAGGGATTTGAACCCGTCTGTTATGCAGACAACGCTATAATACTTCTGAGGAGAAAGAATAACAACTTGTTTTTTTTTTTTGTAAGTCTGAAACGGTATTAAATATCGCCTATAATTGGGCGAGGAGACTTAACGTAAATCCGTCCAATACGGAAGAAAAAAATATAACAGTATGAAGAACCCATTTCTGAAAGCAATGTGAAAACTATATCAAATAAAGTTAAATATCGCGGGGTCATCCTAGACGGAAAATTTAAATGGAAGGACCACATGCAAGATCGGGTAGATAAAGCCCACATATTAGTAATTTTGAGTCGGACCTTAGTCATAGGTAGAGTAGTCGTAACATGTGAAACAATAATACCAGACAAGGACTTATGGGATAGCAGAACAATAGCAAATATGCCCCTGGTAACAGTTGTTACGCAGATGGCTCCCAGCTGGCTGGGAAGTCGGGAATTTCTTTTTTTTTCATAGAAAAACCCGAGAATTGAAATTTCACTTCGCATACCAGATTACATACGATCTTACAGGCGGAGGTTCAGGCTATAACGGAGTGTCTGAATTGGTTTAGTGCAATCTGCCAATCTGGAGACCCAAACGAGGATAAGACGAAACAAATCTTAACACTAAACAAAAAGCGAATCAGCAGATTGATCGGTATTCCAAAAAATAAGGAAATTCTTCACCGATTGGCTTTATCCTAGTTCATACGAGAGCCAGACATGTCCTCTTTCTAACACCGTTGGAATTTTCGGATTCCGATGTTCCAGTGAGGAGTTATCATGCCCGCCATCGAAAATATGGACTTCTCTTTGAACCCAAAAAAACAACAACCAAACAACAACAACAAATTTTGGTAAATTATTTTTCTTCCTTTTTAAATCTTCAAATATATATGTGCCAAGTTACAAACCTTAAGAAGCATTGGTATCCATTTCCCAGCCCATTTAAAATCTTAAAAATAAAAAATCGAGAATGGGGGGGGGGGGAAATCACTCTTGCCGTCACTTGATGCTGACACAATAAATCGGCTATATCTGCAAGAGCTCTTGAGATTTTCAAGAATTCTTTGAGCTTTTGTAGGGATATTCTAGAATTACAGTAGATTTGAATTAAATCAAAAACATTTTTGACACAGAGAATGGGGGGTTCCCTTTAAACAATATTGGATGCGAGGCAAGAAACTGGTGTAGAGCGTGTGAAGAAGACCACGAAACTTTAGAACATTTCCTTTGTCATTGTCCAGCCTATCCAAGCTTCCGAACCCAGTTCCTAGGATATAACACCTTTCGTGAAATAACCGACCTAAGGGGATGTGAATGAAAAAAAAAAAAACGGAATGACACTAACAAAATAGAATTCCTATACGTTTTATTTCGATAATTATGCATGATTCATGCTTACCACATGTTCCAAGTAGTATAAATCGGAATCGCGGAATATAAGATAAATCGGAATTAATTTAATATTCAAATTAGATATGTGCGAATATTGTTTAGTCTGAAAGAGGTCTGCTCTGACCTGATGGTGCATTTGGAACAGAATTATGAACTTCTATTATGTACATACTTATTTGTTATGCATTAAAATTCGTATATAAATAAATATTCTATTTTGTCACTTTATAGGCTTAAAACTTATTTGGTAGACTTAAATTTATTGTTGAGTCTATACAACATTTTGGGTCAATGAATTCTCATTCAATCTCATAAAAAAATTGTCACTTGTTTGGTGGTGTTAATTCCTGAAATATTTCATTTGAGTCCAATATTTTAATCATCATTTATTAATTGGTGTTAATAAGTGGTTAGTGAGATCGTTCTATTAACCTTTATTTTTAATATTCGTAAGTGGAATATCATTTTTAAGGAATACCTCGAATACACTTTTGTGTTGAATAAATTCTTGAAATACCAGAAAACGTAAGAAGATAATTAAAGACCTCAGGTAAGGTGGCAAAAATAAGTTCAACCAGTGAGCGGAGCAGTATAATCGGACTGGGCCGACCATACGATACCCTACACAACTTCCATGAAAATCTAACTTTCTGTGGTTCTATATTCTGAGATTGGGCAATATTTCGCGATATTTGCACACTTTTGACTGGCTAGATGTCAGCAAATGTTACTAATAATCAGTACATCCCCTCTAATTACTTGTCCAGATTCCCTTCACAGTGGGTTGTGTTGTGATGTTCGGCTTTCGACTCGAAAAATACAAACAATTAAGTTTTCGGTCCACTTCATCCGAAAAATTATTATCTAACATTTTAGGTTTTGTCCTTGACCATAACTGGAACCTCATGGAACATTTCAAAGCGATCAGAGCTATATTTCCGCCCTCCAGTGTGGTAATAGGTTACTAATAATAATAGTAAATATTTAAGTGTAACTCCCGCATCCGAGTACCTACGACAATATAATTGGTATCAATTTAAAGGTCGACCACTCCCCTTGGATATACTATCAATTTATCGGGTATATGTCCTTCAGTGGTAAATATATACGCCATAGAATACAAATTTTGTCATTTTTCACACAAATGTTCGGGTCCATTTCACCCGCTAAATATTGACCGATCTTTATCAAAACAGGCATGCTTATTCGTTGGTCCGACCCCCTTCTCCATTCAAAAATTCGCGGTGTTTGGGCCATAATTGCGGCCTCTGAAGCGACCAGAAAAACCGACAAAAATAAAGTTTTTGGTCCATTTCATCCCCTAAATATTAAACGATCTCTTCCAAAAACAATAGGGGTCTTCAATGGCCAGAAACCATCCTACATGCAAAATTTCGTGAAGATTGGTCCATAACTGTGGCCTGTATCGAGTTTACAAATTATAATGGACAGACGGACGGACACACATGTCTAGATCGACTCAGCTAGTCGAGATATGACGATCGGTATACTTAAAGGTGGGTCTAGGACCAATATTTCGCGGCGTTACAAACTTTGGGGCTGCACAAAGCTATAATACCCTGACAACATAGTTGTGTAGGGTATAATCATATGATATATAGTATTTTGGTTTAGCTACAATTTGGATTTACCAAACCACTCGGTGAAGATCTTCCTTATTTTTTGACTTGGGTTTTGGTAAAAAATCGGCGATTTTCCAAAAATATTTTTTCAAAGGTCCACCATTTTGTTAATTTTAGAGCGAAGTCAATAATCCTAGTTCATCTCATGTACTCTTTCTAACACCGTTGGAATTTTCGGATTCCGATGTTCCAGTGAGGAGTTATCACCCGCCATCAAAAATAAGGACTTTTCTTTATTCACAAAAAACAACAACAAGACAACAACAAAAATTTTTTGTAAATTATTTTTCTTCCTTTTTAAATCTTCAAATATATATGTGCAAAGTTACAAACCTTAACAAGCATTGGTATTCATTTACCAGCCCATTTAAAATCTTAAAAATAAAAAAAATTGAGAATGGGGGGGTTCCCTTAAGTCGATTTTTGCATGTCCGTCCGTCCGTCTGTCCATGTTAAATTGTAAAAAAAGTACAGTTAACATTTTTTATTCGAATTGGATGAAATTTGGTCTAAGGACGAACCCTATTGAAATTGGGAAAAATTGGTTCAGATTTAGATATAGCTGCTATATATATTTTCGTCCGATTTAAGGTAAATGGTGCACCAAAGTCCCTATATATCCTTCGATTTGCACGGAATTTGGCATAGCGTACTAAAGTAAGTGTAAAATGATGTGCGATAAGTTTTATGAAAATCGGTTTAGATTTAGATATAGCTCTCATATATATTTTCGTCCGATTTTATGTAAATGGTGCATCAAAGTCCCTGACTGGGGTTTTTAACAACAGGCTTAAATCCACTTTAATAGAATCCAAGAAATATTGGTTTAAGACCTATTTCATTGGACCAAATCCGTTTCTAACGATTTGGAATCGGACAAGTGGTTCATCGTCCCAGATATATAATATATGCTAATTACATATCAAAAAAATTGTCTAAATGTGAATGGTTATAGCGCTGACTTGCACCCAATTACTTTTATTCGCGCACATTGTATAATCAAAGATTTTCGCCGATGCTATTGAAGCGTTCACCCATTCTACTCATTTCCCCGAAGTTAATGTTAAAAATTAGTAATTTTTGGTATCTTTTGGTATATTAGTTTTGTTTTTCCGTTTGTAACGCATCGAAATAATCATTTCCGTATCATTTCCGTATATATATTCTTGATCAAAATGTAAAATTAATATGACGATTTAAGCATATCCTTTTTTGTCCAGAACTGTTGTAATCACTCTAGCGTCTAAACGAATTGAGATAGATCGCCAAAATGTTGCATAGAGTCGCCTTTTGTCTGCAGGCAGGTCAAGTTCGAAGATGGGTTATATCGGTCCACGTTTAGGCATAGCTCCCATATAAGGGTACCTCCGAATTTTTTTTTGACACTCTTCCTCTCGTTTTTCAACCGAATTCGCTGGTACTTTGTGTTCTTATTGGGTAGCAAATCTCCCCACCAAAAAATATGAATATAGGTTCATTTTTTCGGATAACCCCCATATAAGGGTACCCAACAATTTTGTGTGCTTTGGGATCGTTTTTTCATAATATAGGTCCATTTTTTCGGATAGCCCCCATATAAGTCCACTTTGTTTTACATTTTGTTTTTCAACCGAATATGCTGAAATTTGGTACATTGGGTTCTTAATAGGTTCCAAATCTCTCCACCAAAAATTATGAATATAGGTCCATTTTTTCGGATAGCCCCCATATAAGGGTCCCCCCATTTTTCGGTATTTGGGTTCTTGAGCGTATTTTTCAACCGAATTTGCTGCAATTTGGTAATTTGTAGTCGTATATAGTAACAAATCTCTCTACCAAAAATTGTTAATTTGCTTTCGTCAGTATATAGAACCCCTTTTTTATATAAAATAGATAACTATTTGTTCCGAAATGTATTTAAAGATGATCTATCATTTACCTGCGGAGGATAGAGAGAAAACTTCTGGTTTTAGTAAATAACTTTAGTCCGCATTATGCGACCTAGCCCCTGATTGGAAGTTCCAGAATTTGAACAAGCTTGGAAGAAATAATAAGATGGGCAAAGCTGGAAATCGTAAATTTTCTGAAACGGATTTGGTCCAAAGAAACATGGGGTATATATAATATATTCGATTACACATTTTCACCGTGTTAAAGTGTATACACCCTCATTAGCCATAAGGCTGAGGGCATAATTATCCTTTAAAATTTTCTAAAATTTGTGTTATGGTTTACATAATCCGTTTTTAGAAATGTTGGTATAGGTCCACTTTTTGGTATGTTCCCTATATTTTCATATCTAGTACCTGTCAATATATCTATGGTGGAGGGTATCCAAAGTTCGGCCCGGCCGAACTTACCGCTTTTTCACTTGTTATAAGCTAGTTTTTGTTTTAACCCCTTTTCCCTCTAGGAGTTTAGAGCTCAAGATTTAAAGATGTTTCCCCAAATAATTTAAATAGTTAATTTTATTTTATATTATATATAGTAACAGTTTATTTATTTACAAATATTTAAAACAATATATACCCCTATAATAAATTCATATACACACATATTATATAATTAATTATAATTTTTCTACACCTATTTCTTTACATCATTATTATTGTTGTTAACAATAACCGCACTTTCAATTTCTTCTTTGGTCTGATCTTTATCACCCCAACCCCAAACTGGATGTGTTCCATCACCGGTGCGCAATACACGGCTTCTAATAATATCTGGTGATACCGTCTTCATGTCATAGGCCCAACCGATTTTGGCAAAAAATTCTATAACAGCGGCACTGATGTTATTACGTGAACCACCCAATTCGGCTGCCTTGTAATCCCAGGGGAAGACATGATGATAATTGTGATAGCATTCGCCAATGGTTACACCCGAGAAGGCATGATTTTCACCGGGATTATAGCTCCTAGAAAAGAGAATATAAATTAATTTATGTAACTAATTAAAATAGGAGATCGTGGCTTACTTATCGTATGGCTTATTGCCGAACAAATGACAGACACTGTTAATGCACCAGGTACCATTCAAAATGAAATACCAACGGAAGACGGTACAGAAATACCAGGCATTTTCCATGGTTTCACCCCAGCAGATCATGGGTATGATGGTGGGCAAAATGAATGTCAATGTGTACATCAAGACGCCATAGTGCCTAGAAATCAAAATAAAAAGGTGAGTTACATTTAAAAGAAATCGCATTTATTTCAACCCTCTACTTACTTCAATTGAAACATAACCACAGGATCCGCTTTCAAATCCGACAAATCGACAGTTTTTCCCTTAGTTATAACATCAGGATGTTTCCTCACCAGCAGCCAGCCAACGTGTGAGAAAAAGAATCCACGCATGGCATTATGTGGATCAGCATCAGTTTCAGAGAATTTATGATGCACTCGATGATCTCGCACCCATATATAGATGGGATTTTGGAATGACATTGTATTGAAGATCATCAACATAATACGCATTGGTAGTTTGGCTTTATACGCCCGGTGAGCCCACAAACGATGGGCACCAACTGTAATGCCAAAACCACCCAAATACATCATGACCAGAGCTGTAAGAAAAATCGAAAGGGTGTTGGGGTAAGTAAATGGAAATATTCTTTTTGGAATTTTTTAATACTGAGATATAATTTTTATTCTAGATTTTACAAGTCACTCTGACAACATTTAATCCGTCGATAATCCAAATATTTGCAACCTAATTGAGAACACTCCTGATTATTGCCCATGCAACCTTAACTACAGCATATCACACCCTAGATTTTAATTCGCGCAATCCTGTGAACTCTAAAATTTCCATAACACTCCCAGGTTATTACACATTCAATCAACAATATCCTTCAAATCTTACAGTAAGACTACAACAGATCGTAGCCTCGATTCCAATTCGTGCAATATTTTGAAGTCCAAATGTGTTTCCCAGTCTGTTTTCTGTTTCTAAAGCCGTTCAATATTCGTCTGTTTGCTCTACAACTGGAACTAGTTCATTAAGTTCCGTCGTTCATGGCCAATAAACGAGAAGATGTAGTTGAACGATTGCATCAAAAGGAACTGGGTGAACGAGAGCAAATAATGAACGACTGTAGAAAAAAGGAACCAGTTAAATGACAGAACTGAAACTAGCACCGATCGTTCCTAATGCGAATATGTATGATCGATTGGTACCTATTACCCACGTACTCTAAGCATCTCTGCGACCAAATATCGTATTAAGACCTGGATGAATTAGTACCCGAACCGAATTGAGGCTGTGCCAGGCTGATCTGCGTTGAACTAAAATTATTAAGGGCTAAACAGAATTTTCGCGTTGAGCGTTTTTTGTTATCGCGTTAACGCACGCAAAAATTTAAAAAAATATTTAACTCCGAAGCGCAGCGCACAACAACTTCGAGCGTTTGTGTTATCGTTTCCTTGTGGTTGTTGTATTTTCGATAACACATAACGCAACGGATGGCTCAACGCGAGCATTCTGCTTTGCCCTTTAGCCTTTGCATACGTCGCTTTCGTTCTTCTGCTGCAAGTACTGCACTTCCTTGCTGTTGTCATAGTGTGATCTGTTTGATCTAGATATTCATTCCTATAATGCGGATCTCTCTCACAATGATATTGATCTTTTTCGAGGTGCCTGATTGGGGGAATCCTATCCATGAGGTGATCCTGCTATAACACCCAAGCAGACAACATCCCTATTATGCCGATGTAGGGGTAAGAATTTTGCTTGTATAAGTAAAAGGTCTAAATTATCACTTGCGTCATAAAGAGTTACCTTTATGAGAAGTTCGAATATTTGTTCATAAAAGCATGGCGGACACTCGATTCCAATTCTACAATTTATGCCTAGCTGCTATCTACCCTCAATCAATTTCGACGGAGTCTTGTTCGGTCGCATATCACGTAAACATCGAGCCAAGACCCATCTGAAATGCTTTCGGAACCGCTCGAGTAACAGAACTAATTAGATCTGAAAGATCTTGTTTATGACTTGGATACTCTCGTAAATCACATCACAACACTGAAATGTCACATTTGCAGATTCTAACTAGTATCGAACTGTTGAAGAGGATTTAGGATCGTTAACCTACAAGGCAGGACATGCAATCAATCCACCTCTCAATAACATTTTTTTAAATTAAAATCTACAATGTTCGTGCTTAAAGTTGGGCGCCAACTATGGATAGTGGAAGAGCAAACCAAGTTCATAACTCCACAATGTCCCATTTGAGACACCCGCATCCAAATTTGATGGAAACTTTTTCTGCCGCATGTCATTGGAAGATCGAAATACGACCTACCTACCTAGAATGCATAGCTCGAATAGCATAACTTATTAGTAGACAGATGGAGTAAGTCTTCAATGGGCATATCGCTGATAAGTCTTTGTTTTTTAGGCCAAGTCATTGCTAGAAAAATTGACACTGATCGTGTGATATCAGCAGCCTAAAGTTTGGTTGGTCACTTTACAACACTGAGATGCCGATTTGCAAATTCTAACTAGTATCGAATTATTATTGTAGGGGTATACCAAGCAGATCAGGGTAATCCTCCCACCTCTCTGAATTTTTCTCATTAACAACAACAAAACGACAGTTTTAATCTTAATTTTAAATCTAAAGTTTGCTTTGCCACGTTGGGCGCCAGGTCGCGTGACTATAAAGTTACAACGTATGTGAGAAATCGTCCCTAATCTAAATACCGGGTATAACAGTATTTTATTCTTTGCTTGGCTACTATCTGGAAGTATTGCAACACTGAAATGTCAATTTGCAGATTCTAACGAGTATCGACGGTACGATCAACAGTGTCGTAATGCTACTGAGGTGAAAAACGCATCCAAATTTGATGCAAATCGTTTATCGGGAGTAAAGGAGAGAGGAGAAACGTATTTTCAGAAAAAATAAGAAAGAACAAGAAAAACGTGAGAATGAAGTCCGGAAATTTTACCAACGAGTAAAACACCAAACCGAAGGCCTTGGTGCAGGCACATCCTCCTGTAGAGATGAAGAAGGAAACCTGGTGACAGATACAGACAGCGTGTTGAGGATCTGGAAGTAGCATTTCGAAAAGCTTCTAGTATCAAATAGTGGCGATGAAGAAGATACCCCAGAACCAATAATAGATGACGCTATAGAGTGTATACCACCTAGCCAAGATGAGGTCATAGAAGCAATTAATCGGCTCAAGAACAACAAAGTAGCAGGAGCCGATGGGTTACCAGCCGAACTATTCAATACTGGTGGCCAGATGCTGGTCAGGAGCATGTACCAGCTGATTAGCACAATTTGGCTAGATGAATACATGCCCAATAATTGGAACCTCAGCATCCTGTGTCCCGTGCACAAAAAAGGAGACAAGACGATATGTGCCAACTATAGAGTAATAAGAGTAAATCGCATATAAAGTGCTATCCAGTGTGCTGTGTGAACGATTGAAGCCAATGGTCAATGACATCATCGGACCATACCAATGCGGCTTCAGATCTGCCAAATCCACCATTGACCAGATTTTCACTCTGCGCCAAATCCTGGAAAAGACCCACGAAAAACACATCGACACAAACCACCTATTTGTCGACTATAAAGCCGCATTCGACAGCCCTATCCGTTCAGCGGTGTTTAAAGCCATGTCTGCTTCCTGTAAAATTAATAGGGCTATGCAGGATAACTTTAAGTGGCACAAGGTCAGCAGTTAAAGTATTAAAGGACCTATCGGAGCCCTTCAATACCGAACGAGGATTCAGACAAGGTGACAGTTTGTCGTGAACAGAAATGACACTCTGTACACCAAACAACACATGTTACTCGCCTACGCCGATGACATCGATATAATGGGTCGAACATTGCGAGCGGTAACAGCCACCTTTGAACAAATTGAAAAGGAGTCTGCCAAAGTGGGTCTGGCAGTAAACGGCGAGAAGACCAAGCTGATGGTATCAACGCGCAAGACGTCCAGTAGCAACCAACTGTGGAACTTGAGAACTACAGCTTCGAGGTAGTTAAAGACTTTATGGCTTATGGAAAAACCGTTCTGTAACAAGCCAGCTAAGTAAGTAAGTAAGGAGTATCGATTTATTATTGTTGGAGAGACTTTGTGCCATTATAACCTATCAGCAAATCTGCCCAATTCTAAAAGTTTTCTTTTGTGAAGCAACTTAAATTTAAATCCTTAAACGTTCATACTACATGTTGGGCGCCATTTGTTATAATTCTACAGATGTGCTATGAAAACGAATTAACTGAAATCTGACTAATATCTCGTAACAAATTGTATCTCAAAAATAGAATAATCCAGATATATTCCACAAGTCATACGGCCTTGAAATAAATTGCGCCGAATTGTATCATGGACCAAAGTCCATGGTTATAAAATCAAACTGAATTGAGGTGAAATTAAATACAAAATATGTATATATAATAAATTCCATTAAAATATAATATTTTAAAACAATTTTGTTGTTATTGTTATTTTTGTTACTACAACAAACAAATTCAATATTTCTATATTTTTTTAAAAAAACCGAACGGACATCAAATATTCTCATTAAAATAATTACTTATTTAAGCACAAAAAACCTCTTCGTAAACCTGTTCCAAATGTCCAAATTATAAATAAAAAATGTTGAACGAAATTGAACATCTAATAAAAAATGTTGGCCCGCAGCGGAACGGAAACACCCATAAAGGTTCAATAAACAGAATTGCAGTGCCGCAAAAAAAATTTAATCTCCAACTGCAATACCCGCAATTGAAGCTGGTTTGTGAGACAGTGACATTTGTGACGCATTTTCCAAACGTTTTTGGGTTTTTTTCATTTTTAGTTATTTGATTTCGCTAAATTTATCCCGCATGTGTTGAATATATTTGGCATAATTAGTTGGGTATTGTAGGTTCTAAGTAAAAATTATTAGTTTATCAATTAAAAAAATATTTACTCGGTAGCTTGTTACTTTAAGAAATTGATTATGAAACCTGCAATTTTTTCCAGTTTCAGAATTCAGCTAGCAATAATTTTGAAACACACGCAGCATTATTTTGTATTTGAAACAAGTTTATAATTTAAGTTGGCTAATGATTGTGGTTTTATGAAATATAGTTCCAGTTTGGGGTTTTTTTTTGCTCATATTAATTATTTCAATAGACTTAGATTTGGTGCACAGCTCATTATGTGAGGTTATGGTCACTGATGTGGGGTATTTTTAGATTTGTTCACAGGCAGGGGATTAGAGAAAAACGTGCGAGAAATTAGCAAATCTAAATGTGTTACTTGCTTAGTGAGGAGGGGTGGGTCGTGTGTTAATTTTAGTTTAATTAAAACCATCAGTAGGTTAAATCTCGCGTTTCACGATATTAGTCGGAAATTATATCGATAATTAGTATTTTTTTTAGTATGGACTTGGAGAGAGATATATTTGACATTAATTGACCCGTCCGGAAATTGAATAAAAGGGTCATATGTCATTAGGTCTAAATTCTTGATCTAAAAACGGTTGTTGCCGACGCGTATTCAAATACTCTCTGATATCGCATTACAACACTGAAAGGTCGAGTTGCATATTCCAGAAGAGGAATTTGCTCCCGTGTCGCTCTCCTACCAAACATTACCAGCTAATCTGCCCACCTCTCAAAGTTTTTTTTTCCTTTTTAACATCAATTTTATGACGTTCGAATCTCATATTGGGCGCCATCTTTTACCACTCTCCGGATATGCATAGCGTACACATATATAGGGACATTTTCTAACCTGTCAAACGACGTTAAGTTTCTATGAAAAAGTTGTTACTCACAAAGAACCCTGAATGTCAACAGCTTCGGTTATTTCATAGGGCCATGGTCACATTAAATGTAGCAGAACCTTGAAGGAGATTATGCAAAATGCGTTTCCGGACTTCTTTCTGCAAACACATTAAAACACTGAAATGTCAATTTGCAGTCTAACGAATGTCGAATTATTTTTTTTTTTGGTATGCTCCCGTATCGTTAGCCTGTCATGCATAACCAAATAAATAACATCAAAATAGCAATTGATTTTGCTTAGATTCAAAATAAAAAAACGTTAGTGCTCGACGTGGGCGCCATCTGTTACGACTCTCATTTGAGACACACACACATCTACATTTTATGGTGTCATGTTTGGCACATATTACCAAAACACCTTCCGCGCCGTTAGAATCAATCACAGAGAATGAGTGGAAGAATCTTTCTTAAGTTTATCGTTAGTGGATAGGCCAGTTCGCGTTGTTCTAAAGTCCCGATTTGTGACAGATAATCTGTCTATCTCTATAAGTTTTCTTTCATTTACATCGATATAGCAATTGCTATTATTTTAATTAAAAACCTATAACGTTTGGCGCCATCTGTTACGGCCCTCCAGCTACGGATAGTGAAAGGCAATGTAAAATTTGTGTCTTAATGGTGTCCCATTTGAGGCAGCCGCTTACAAATTCAGTTGCATGCCATCCAAACACGAAACAGTGACTCTTCTATATCGTTGGAACCAATTAGGGAACGGATGCAAGAGCTCTTCTTGGGCGCAACAATGACAAATCGGTTGTTTTTTTTTGTTTTAAGAACAGGACGTGTTACTTAATTTTTGTGTCCCGATGTCTGTACGAAAATTAATACTATTCGGTGGGTATGCATTACACCCACCTACCAAGTATATCACGTAATCTGTTCTCTTCTCTAGGTTTTTTCTCATTAACAGCAATAATGCGACGTCTCTTATTATAATTTTAAATCAAAAAGTATTCCATGTTGGGCGCCATCTGTTACGACTCTCCAGTAACGGATATTGGATAATTAAGGATTAAACATTACATTATGTTAGATCAGTCCGCACATCTCACCGTTGAAATCGGTCGCTACTCTTTTATGTGGGAGCTATGTCGAAACCCCAATTACTTATTTTTTTCCGCACATCATGAAAATAATGCGTGCATCCAAAATTCACGTTTGATGGTGTCGCAATTTGAGTGAATACTGATCTTTGACATTTGCATTTTCCAATAGTTTTTAACATTTATTTTTTTATTCATACTTACTGAACACATAACTCTGCCATTTCATCCACGTGGTGCACAGCAAATATAATCCATAAAGGGCCGAATAGTTAGCATAGACAAATATAATGACATTACGCCAAACGATCTGTAATTTACGATCTTTGGCATGTTTCAGCTGTTCAATGTCCTTAACCAGGCCACCATCAATGGTGTCGGCTTCTTGTGGCTCAAGAATGCCAGTTGTCGATTGTTCGATGCTTAGATTTGGTGGCATATTGCTCTGGAATGAAAAAAATATTATAGAATCATATTATAATATATCTCAAGTAGATCGGACATTTATGTGTGGGTTATAATATGGTGCCCTTAAAATGTGGGATGTTATATATTCTTATATAGCGCTACCCTAAAAAGTGGACTAAGTTTAGCTTAATGCATCTGAAAAACGTGCACAAAATAACCGATATATCACATTGTTAATACCAAATATCCTAGGAGTAGCAGTATTGTGAATCCAGTTCGATGGTGGGTACCATCCACACAAAATGGTCAAAATATTTTTAAAATTAGTTTTGAAATGGCATGCGAACGAGCTATCCGATTTAAACCAAACTTTGCACAACCTACGCTTGTATATTGTTGGAAGCGCCATCTATTGGTGGATATGATTCAAATCAAACGTATAATCTTTGAACAGATAATCGGTGGCATATGAAAGAGTAAATAATCTACTTTACTATATCCATCAAAAAATTCCTAACACTAATATTAGCGAGGGATATTAAATTAAAAAATTAATATTAATGGATGTATGAAATTGTAACTTTCTTACGACAAAAATTTTATTTATATTTTTACAGTATCTAGCTCCTCGGAGCAACACAAATGCTGCCAGACCACTTAACGTTCTGAGCCATCAACATACTTCCAAAACGGTTGCGCAAAAACATGTGTATACCATGGAAGAAATTGTAGGTGTGTGGATTAATTATCCATCGCTATAACAAAAATCTGCTTTGAAAAGGACTGTTCCTAGAATGAAGACAAATGTCGAACTTTGACAAATTTGAATTTAATTCGCATATGTAAGTTTCGCATCAGGGCGGAATAATTACAAGTTATCAACGTACGACCTTTGTAAAGCCACATAGCCCAATATGCCTGATGAGCCGCATAACCAACGGCGAAACGCGTCGCATAACGGTGGATACTTAGGTTCTTCTCCTGGCTTTCCTTTTCATTGCAAGACTTAGATCATGAAGCTCGACACGAAAGAGTATAAATAATCACTTAAAATTACTTTGAAATGATCACTGCCCTTACAATCAAAATTCAAATAACAAAAATTTTTACAGTATATACAGTCAAAAGTTATAGGAAAAACAAATGAGTATTGAATTTTGCATAATCGATTTTTGGATTTACAAATTCAATAGATGGCGCTGACGACAAGTGCTTGCCAGTGCTGCTAAATTTAAAGAATGCGTAATGATGACATACACTATTCGACAGTATCAAGGATTGTTTGACAGAGATGCCATGTTAACAGAAAATTAAAGTTTTCTGAAATTCTTCACAACTTTGGAATATCTTTAGCACATAATCGGGTTTAATGAAGTTTTATCGGAGTTGCCAGTGTAACAGAAAAGTTACAATTTTTTAAATCAAAAATAAAATATCGTTTGTACCATTCATATGTCACTACTTTCATTTGAAATATGTAAGGCGAAAAACGTATGGCGAAAAGAAATGTGGTCAGCGCCATCTATTGATGAGCATTATTCAAAGCAGGCATTTACGTTTTCATATAACACCAGTGAGAAAATAATGTGTATAAAAATATTACAGAGGGAAATATCAGAAAACTTCAATACTATCGGGCATGTTCTGGCATTCACTTCAACGGCAGAAGTGTATCGAACACACGCCGAGGTGTTCTGTAACACACTTTACACCCATTTGAGGTTTATTCTTTACACTTACATTTTCATAGTGAGAGTGGGGTGTATTCATGTTTTTCTATATGAAAGAAAATCTTTTTTGAAATAAAAAAGGCACATGATGATAGATTAACACGTTATTATTGCGTATAATTGGTTTAAAATCACAAATTTAAAATAAAACGCGTTTAAAAACAAATTTTAAATGTATACTAAGGTTTTGTGTTGCATTTTCTTCAACTGGATTGCTCGCTTGACACAAATAGCTGATTTGAAGTAAGGCCGAAGAAGATAGGGATACCAAATGATCCACATAAATCAATCAACAAATTAATTATATTACAGAGTCTTCCATACATATATTTTATGTTGCGAATAATAAAATATTAAAAAAATAATAAAATTACCGTTAGAACTTACGAAATTACAAAAAATAACAGAAACAATGTTAAAAACGAATACAGTTTATATTGTATGGCAACACTATTACTGCAAAGTACAATGTCGGCGTTTATTTTTGTCGCAGTTCGAAAATTTGAATTCACGTGAGATGCAGAACAGGAGGTAACTTCTGAGGTGAAGTGTATGTGTGAAGTGAAAGGAACACGCCGTGAGTTCCAGAACATACCCGTATATTTCATATTGAAAACTGTAAAATATTGATTACTATGTCACCAGAAACTATAAAATTTTACATTTCATATGACCAATTTCATTGCAATAGGTCAATAGTTATGGCAAAAATAAATGAAGTTTGAATTTTTGATAATCGATTTTTGGATGTACCCATGATGCAATAATAAGGTGATGTATTATAACAAAAACCTTTGTTTTTGTCCCGACCTTCTATAAAATTTTTCCTTATAATATTTCACATGGTTGGCAACACTGCTCATTGAATCCATATAGAAATTACGCACTTTGACAGTTAATCAAGACATCAGCTGCTCTAAATGGACTACCTATTCCGTGTGCCATGGATGTACCCATTCAATAGATGTCGCTGACGACAAGTGTTTGCCAGTGTTGCCATCTTTACTGAATATCGCATTAACTATTTTATGTGTAATGATATAAAAATAATTTAAATAGATATTAATAGTATCGATTATCCACTGTCATATCGATTATTCAATCGCTAGAGAAGTTCATATAAATCGTGTATTGAAAATTAAGGATCCCAATATGTTTTGACATATCATTTATATTATAATCCTTGGTGTTCAACACTCCCTTCAGTGATCCTTTATTTAATTTAGCAATCCACAATGATGTGATAATCCAATTTATTTTGAGGTTAGGTTTCACATTTGTTTTTGTACTTTATTAGTTATTATTTCACTTTTTAATATTTTGTAATATTCCTTTTAGCATTTCACATTATCCACATGTCCGTTTTATTTTTTTTAAAAAAGGTTAGCAAAAATCAAATGTTTCAAATTTTACGTACATTTTTAATCCTTTAAAACGTCGATACGATTTCACTTCGTTATTATCGTATTTATTTTTATGTTTTTTTAATTTAATTTCTTTTTTAATTTCAAAATTCACTTAATAATAGATCCGAAATTTCTCCAACCGCACCCTCAGGAAATACTCGAACATCTAAAATCCAATGGCAGAGGAAAAAATTTATAAAGACTTTTTCGTTATGCGCTTCGGAAGTACTAATTCTTAATTCGATTTGATATTATAAATAATTTCAAAAAAAACCAGGGGGGTAACCAGTTTAACTGTCATTATTTGTGTGTACGTGTGTGTGTGTGTTTTGGGGAAAGTCTGGATGTAATTGCAGTTGTGTGAGTGTTTGTGCGTGCCTTTTTGCATGTATCCGAATTGACATTTCGAAATAAACCGGTAAGAACTTTTTTTTTTTAATATTTTATAAAATTCAATCTACAATTTTATTGGTTTATTGTTGGTTTCGTATTGGAAAGAAAAAAAAACAAAAACAAGTTGTTAGAATCTAATCGATGTGCCTTAATGGTGATTATGTTAAAAGAGAAGGTGGTTTCTAGTTGGCTAAGGCAGATTCCAGTGTAGATTCTTTGAAATGTTTGGTAAGGGTTTTGTGTAGTGATAATTTAATAAATTATTTGGCCATGAACAAGCATGCACTTTTGATATTTGACAGAGAGGAATTTTTTTGGGTATAGTCAACAAATATGGGAGAATTATATGTTGCATTCAGAAATTAAGAGTTTTTTTTTTATTTTTTGAAATTCTATCAGCTGAGGAACACACTCTCACTGCTGAAATAGTGAGCTGATATGTGCCGCGAGTTCACCCATAAAAACTATAAAAATGGGTTGAGGCCTCGGGTTAGTTGCCCACACTCGGAAACCCCCTCCTACTATGAAAAAGTAACGAAATAGAAAACCAATCCCCCTAATGTTGACGACCTCCGCAAACGTATAAAGAACCACGATCTGAATTTGGAATGTGTGAAAGTTGTACAGAAAGGCACAGTTTTTGCTTTGGCGCATTTACTCAAGAAGTACAACGCCGATATTATTGCCTTACAAGAAATGCGATGGAAAGGGACAGGCGTAAGTAAATCAGACGATTACGCCCTATATTATAGCTGCCATGAAACGAGACATGAATTTGGCTGCGCATTTATAGGTTTTAGGAGAATAAAATACCTCGTCTCCAGATTTACTTCAGTAGATGACCGAATCGCTATAATTCGTATTAAAGCGAAGTTCTTCTACATCAGTCTTATTTGCGCCCATGCTCCTACGGAAGACAATGATGAGCAGACCAAAGACATATTTTACGATCGCCTAGAAACAGCATATGATCGCTGCCCTGGCCATAACATTAAAATTCTGCTAGGAGATTTTAATGCAAAAATCGGAAAATAGGTAAGAAAACGTATATCCAAACAAGTGGGGAAAGCATGGAGTATTCCATGATTTAAAAAAATGGAGAATAGGAATACAATGGTGGGGTGGGATTTCACCAGGCACAATATATCATTGAAAATTCTCAATAAACCAATTAATTTCAGTCTGACAAGAACCTATTTCGCTATCATGTGATTCGCTGTTGTTTATTTTTGTTTGTTCTCCCGCTTGAATCCGGTACTGCTAACATGGTGTTAGCAGCACCAGATTCGAGCATCTCGATATACACAGGGCTGCCAGGATTTCTCCAAATTGATCATGATGTGATAGACGGAAGCATTCATCCAGTGTATTAGACGTTCGATCTATCCAAGGAGCGAATATCGATTCGGACGACTACCTTGTAGCAGCCAAGTTCGCACTCGTATTAATGTAGCAGCAAAGGTGCGATCTAACACAACACGGAAACTTGACGTCGAAAAGCT